TAAATAAGTGTATTGATTATGTCTGTGTATGTGTGTTACATATAAGACTCTGGACCTGCCTTCCTGGAGAGGCTAGACTGGCTCTCTCCTTGTTGTTCTGCTGGCAGGTGAAGACCTTCTTGTTAATTTTGGAAATTAACTGCATTTAATGAAATGGCTGGTGCCATGCTGTTTTTATTGTAATTATTTTCATGTTTTAAGTAGGTTTCATATACCGTATGTATATAGTTTTAATTCTATCATTGTTTGATTGCATTTTAATGTTTAATGTTTTTAGCAGTTCTTGTTTCTATCTGTAAGCTACCTTGAGTCCCATCAGGGAAAAAGCTGGGGTAAAAAAATAAAATAAAATAAAAATAATAATTCTTCCCTGGAGTTTTCATTAGAGGACCACTTGATTCGTTCCTCGGACAAGTGATTTTTGGCTTGCAATTTTGAGGGTAGTAATCACCTCTGTGTACGTATTTTAAAAATAAACCAGAGTTTTGTTCGGTAAACGAGGAAGAACACACTGCCCCCTTTTAACCACCCTTCCTCCCTGCCAAAACTCCCACCACCTACTAAAAACATTTGCCAGGTGGAAATTTGCTTGTTTGGTACTTGTTATGATGTTTGACATAATTATCAAAATAAAAACAAAATCCGCCCCAGTGCGTTTCCACTCACAATGCTGTCAATTAAAGATCTACAAGAATTATTACATATACAGACCTTGGGGAAGAACGTTTTCTCCTTCGCTATAAATCCTGACTCCACAGAGTTCTTTTTTTTATTACTGCATTTCTCCAGTTGACTTCTGTGGTTTTTGCCAGCTTCTCCTCTTGGCTTCCATGTGGAATTTAAAAGGTTTCTTCTCCCCCCCCCCTTTTGAATGGCTGTGTCTGACATCAATGCCATGTCATGACACGAAGCTGACTAATAAAAGTTAGACTCCATTGGTTCATCTAGCTGGGTATTGCTTACTAACTGGCAGAGGCTCTCCACGGTTTCGGCCAGGGGACATTCCCAGCCCTACTTTGAAATGTTCTTAATGGAACCTGGGGCCTTCTGTGAGTGAGCTTTAAGTTTCTGTGTAGGTGCATAGGTAAAGGTAAAGGGACACCCTGACAATTAGGTCCAGTTGTGGCCGACTCTGGGGTTGCAGCACTCATCTCACTTTATTGGCCGAGGGAGCCAGCGTACAGCTTCCAGGTCATGTGGCCAGCATGACTAAGCCACAGGAGCAGGGACCAAGCAACGGGCGCTCATCCCGTTGTGGGGATTCGAACCGCCGACCTTCTGATCGGCAAGTCCTAGGCTCTGTGGTTTAACCCACAGTGCCACCCGCGTCCCTTTATTTATGCATATCCTCCAACATTTCTCCAATGGAAATAGGGACATCCTAAGGAAAAGCGGGATGGTTCCGGGATCAGGTCAGAAACTGGGCTGGCTTCTGTAAACCCAGGACCATCCCTGGAAAATAGAGACACTTGGGAGGGTCTGTTATGGTTGCAGTCACCTGGTTGCTGCCATGTGCCAGGACTGGGAGTGTCCTACCATGTCATCTGATGTCATCTTGGGACACCAGGTGCTTCAACACAATAGATTAGAAGCTTTCAAGTCTCCAGCTAAGCTTAGTGGCATGGAGAAGCTATGTAATTTCTCCGTGCCCCTAAGGATTTCAGTTATGATAGGAAACAGCATGGGACATCTCTCTCGCCCTGATCTTGCCACTGTGATCCACATTACGGTCACCTTGTAGCTCACTCTACGTGGGGCTGCCCTTGAGACTGACCCAGAAACTCCAGCGGGTGCAGAATGCCGCGGCGAGACTCCTTACAGGGTCCTCGTTGCGAGATCACATTCACCCAGTGCTATACCAGCTGCACTGGCTCCCGGTGGAGTACAGGATCAGGTTTAAGGTGCTGGTTTTAACCTTTAACGCCCTATACGGCACAGGACCCTCATACCTAAGGGACCGCCTCTCCTGGTATGTCCCATGGAGGACCTTACAGTCTTCAAACAAAAACATCTTGGAGGTCCTGGGCCACAGGGAAGTTAGGCTGGCCTCAACCAGAGCCAGGGCTTTTTTGGCTGTGGCTCCAATCTGGTGGAATGCTCTGTCACAAGAGACTAGGGCCCTGCGGGACCTGACATTTTTCCACAGGGCCTGCAAGACAGAGCTGTTCCACCAAGCCTTTGGCCAGGGCACAGCCTGACCCCCTCCTTTGGCAATCCTCACAGAACTCTAGCCCAATGGTGGCCATTAATTTGATTTGAACTGGTTTTATAATGAAATGATTTTATAATGTTGTATTATTTTACTGTTGTTAGCCACTCTGAGCCCGGCTTCGGCTGGGGAGGGTGGGATATAAATAAAATTTTATTATTATTATTGGACTGGTGCAAGTAAGTTAAAGGGGCTGTGCAATGTGTGGAAAAACTTGAGGGATGTTAAATTATCTGCAAGTTGTATGGAGAATAGGGTGCCGACTAGCTCATCTGATGCCCCCAAATCTTCTCCATTGTTCTCCACTTGTTCCATGGCTACCCTACATCCCAGACTTGCACCTCGTAACTCTCATCAAAATGAAGAACATAAAGCGAAGCCCTGCAGGATTTCCCATAGTGGCCAACAAAATGCCCACAGGAAGCCCACAAGACATGAAGGCAAATGGCTTCTTCCCATTCCCGCCCCTCTGCTAATTGAGACCTACTGCCTCTGAACGCAAAAGATGCTTGTAGCCATCATGGCCAGTAGCTATCACAGTAAGTCCAACTCCACTCTCCTTCAGAGGAGGCGAATAATGCCTTTGTTATTAATTCAAACTTAACTGAACCCCTTTGTGTCAATACTCAAGTCATAACCAATGACAGAGACAGAGGAGAATGACATCACATCAACTGGGGAGAAGAGATCGCAAAACATACAAACCATCATCAGTGTCATGGTTAGTGCGTGTTAAATTGCAATTATATCACAATATATAGATTTTAGCTTTTAAATGAGTAGATCTGCAACATTTGTGAATGGATAGGGGTTTTACTTTTAAAAAAAAATGCATGAGAATTTGTTTTAATTATTGGAACCTTCCTGGGGACTTGAGGGCAAAGGGCAGGTAATTAATAGCAGGCAATATGCCAGGTCAGTGATGGTAAATGTACAATACTTCAGTGATGCTGTGTAAGCCACGGAGTCTGTTTGCAGTCCTTCATTTTCAGGAAACCATCTGGAGCACATTTCTGAGGTTTCAAGACAGGCTGACATGCCCGTGCTTTCTCCATAACCGTTAAGATTTAGAAATTCCTTTTAGAAGGATTCTCCAGGATTTATCAAGAATTGCTTGGGCACTTAAAACTCCTATGTGGAATGGCAGTGTCCGTTCTTATTTGGGTCAGTTCTTGTTCCATCTTGCCCTAAATGCGTTCCCTAGAAAAAGAGTCAATGCTGCACTCAAGTTGGTGTTGATGTTTAAAGCACCTCAACATGGCTGGAATGAAGTGTGTGTGAGGAGAGCATAAATTTTAAGAACCTCGCTACCCTCTGGACCTGAATCTCACATGTTCTGAATAGATAATCCCTACTGAGGGAGAATATCCATTGCATTTTTGAAAGAGAGAAACTCCTTGTCTCTACACCCATGATGATTTACAAAATACATTGAAGCAACCACCGTAATAAAACTGGAATCTTAACAAACATACCACTGATTCAAAGACGCTGGCAACATCCATTCTCAATGAAATACAAAACAGCTCACATATTTACTGAATCACCACAAGGAAAAGGCTGAGATGGGCTTCACTTGGGAGCACAATTCTTAATTTATGGCCATAATCAGTGCCAGTTCTTCAGCAGCAGTTCCAAATCCCTTTTCATATCCTGCCATTTCACTATTAATGTCAGTTTATAAATTTCTCCACTGACACTGTATCTAGTGAGTGGGTCATGCTGACCAGGCAATGTTCTAGAAGAACTATAGAGTGAGTTGGATACGGAATATTGTTTTTTTTTTTTTTGGAAACAGGATGTTATTTTCTATTGTCTTTGCACTCTTCCCCAGGAAAACTCAAACTGTTACATCTTTCAATACAAATTCTAGTTTTCACTTCCCATTCCACATGGTCTAACATCTCCAACTGCTTTGATAAAATTTCTGCTCGGGTAAACCATTAGTCTTTCAAATATAATATAATCTAAACCTGAATCTACCCATCAAACTTTTTTCTTTTCTTTTTTGCCCCCACAAGAACTGGGGTGGTGGCAAATTGGAAAAGAGGGTGAGAGGTAAGATGGTGTGAGACCATGAATAGGCAGAAGGAATGGAATAGATATTATGGGACAGTGTGTTAACCACAACCACCAAGCTACTAGTTCCTAAGGAATGTTGACTTGATTTTTTCCCCCCAGTGAGTCATTTCACCTTTATTCACAGATTATGTTTGTACGCTCTCAGTTTCTGTAATATGCAGTAAAGTGAGTTAATTTGAGTGGATTTAGACACTACAGTATCATTACATTCTGCAGGAGTCAAAAGGTATGCCTTTCCCTTTAATAACATGTTAGCAGAGTGTGCCTGGCGCTGCCCAGGAATCTCCAGAAGCCAAAAAATATATGGATAGTGAGTTTGTGAGTTTGGACCTGATACACCAGACACCCTCAGGAACCCTCACGCCAAGTTTGGTGACAATAGCTAGATGAACCTATGCCAAAAAATGGGTGAAGTCATGTCAAAGTGATGTCTTAGCCCACCATCACTAAGTTGAAAAAATATGGAAAGACATAGATAGCAAGCCAGCAGTGAGATGTTTGTATGCCTATTGATTTTTAAGTTGGTTAGGTGACAGCCATTAAGGTAAAGCAAATTTTAATGTGGTTAGACAGTACTGACAAAGATTCAAAAATGGGTCGAACATGCACATTTAACAATCTGTAGACTGAGTCAACACACGTTGCTCGATGCTTAGAACACTGAATTTTCAACAGTCGACTTAGCAAAAAACCCAAGGAAAGTCACCAGCACGTAATACAGTGTAGTGTTTATTGTATGTAATGGAAGGTACACTTGAATTTCAAAAATTTAAAACATATAAAAAGTGGTTAAAGGGCTAACATTTTATCAACATTTGATAAATGCATTAAGAACGTTTATTATACAGCAGGGTACAATGTAGTGTTAATGCCAACGGGGCACCATGGAAATTAGTCTTTAAAAAATTCCACTATGTAAGCTTTATACAAACAAAACCACTTGCTGCTGTTTAAGATTGTATGGAGGAGACTGCTGTCTAAGCAGTCTTACAACAATTTTTAATATTAGATAGCATCAGTCATTAATTTGGGTGAGTGTTTCAAAAAGAAAAAAAAAAGTAGAAATGTTGTCATTCACAGAAATGCACATCCAAGTCTTGTTTCTGATAAGAACAATAGGTACAGATTGTAACTCTCCCTATATGAAATAATTTACACACAGATGAAAGCTAGGTACACTAAAATAATCACTAAATAGAGTTCTTCCTGGAAATAAACAAGCCATTATGATTCCTGCACGATTGGATATGAAGAAAAAAACATAGTTGAAATAGTATTTATCTTTTAAAACATAATTATGATTATTCTAAAATAAAAAGGAAAACAAATCAGCAAAATGTGCAACCTAAAATCAGCCAAGCTTATATTGTAGTACAACCATATTAAGAAACCACTGGTCAGAAATACAACTGCATTGGGAAAAAGTTTATAATCCACAAAACTCTTTGCCAGGCCATAAAGTAAAACAGCTCCACAGTTTACACAAGTAAAACTGAGGCAACATAGATGCGTGCTTAGGTTGTCTCCAGTTAAAGCAGATATTCAGGCAGATGATGTGACACTTTGTTTGTACACAGCATGGTATGCATTTCGGAGCAAGACATATGGAAAGCAAGACTCCAGAAGATCCATGGTCAGGAATGGAGACTCCTGGACGATCTAAAGTGAGAGTAGAGATCACATCAGAAACCAGGTAAGGAGTGGAAATCCCAATGCTGCTAAAATGACAAGCTACCAGAAAGGAGGAGAAGGAAATGCAGAGAGGCTCAAAAGAGTAGGGTTCAAAAGCGTTTCATGATTTTTGTTTTATAAAGTAATTTTTCTGCTATGCTGCCCAACAGTATTTTGACCATTTGTTGAATTCCACACAGAGTGCTTGTCAAAGTCTCTTTTACCTAGGATAAAACTTTTGGAACAATCACTGGAATGAGAGCTTACCATGTCTAGCAGTAGGTAAACAGATTCTCTGTTCCTTGTAGTGGTTTTGTCTGTCTCCTGACCGATTTTCAGTAGACTAGAGGATGCAAGCTAAAAAAATCACAAATAGCAAGTGAGTTTTCTACTCATCTAAAGCCACTTTAAAAATCATTTTAATTTCACGACACATGCAATTTCAGATATAAGATTTAACATGACATGATCTGTAATGTTAGATAATGCAATGGGGTTATGGATGTGGAGCATTCCACAACAATGAAATGAACAGGACAGACCAATTGTATAGCTCAATTTGTGTACTGGAATCCCTGATCAGACTAGTTATTCTGCAAGACAAAGTTCACACATGCTTGCAATATTGACTCAAATCCTTTACAGTCATTGTTGCAATCACTACCATATAGGAAAAGCCACCATAATGTTGTTGGCTTGAAATCAAAAGTTAAGGTTGTAAATGTTAATCGCAGTACAGCTGAAAGCCTTGGTGGAAATGAATGATTTCTGGAGCAGGTCAGCCCAAAATAAAAACTGTACATACAGCCAAGAATTCTTTGAGACGGTCTTCAATGCTTCCCTTGTGAATGGTAAATAAAGCTGCAGCAATCTGGTTGATTGCTTTGGCCAGGCAATGGATATTGTTGCAGTGACCTAAACAAAAACACATTTGTGATATTACTTTAGCTTCACTCACACTCTGAACATTTTAGCTGAATGGAACGTGTCGTTTGAATAGGAGCAGAGTTAAGTTTAGCAAGGGATTAACTTTCAAATATAATATGGATAATCTTCATTTAACAAGGAGGAAGTAAAGATCTTTAAGAACCTTCTGAATAGAGTAAAAGACATTACACACAGGTCCTGCTATCTGCACGCTCAATATCCAAAAATTCACTTATCCATACTTGAAAGAATAATACCCAAACCTCACTATATGTCCCACAGATTCACTTATTCGAACAGCCAACTTGCTTACTTCCTTTTTGTTTTTTTGTTGGTGGCAGCCATCTTTAGGCAGAAACCACGGAAAGACGGAGGGAGTGAGATCAGATGACTCAGAAAGCAGGAAAAATGAAACAAATCAGGGACAGGAGAGATTGGGCAAATCATCCCCCCCCATGCCTCTCTTCTGCTGATTGGCTGCAGCCATTTCAAGAAGAAACCATGGAGAGAGGGAGGAAACAGAGGGGACTAATCTTGTATTAGAAATGGTTCCATAGGAAATAATGGCAATCGTGGAATCATTATACCAACGATTGCATAACAAACAATTTCCAGGGAACTCATAAAGCAGGGCTACATTTATTCCAAAATCTGTTTCAAAGACTGAATTCTGGTTTTCTTCTTAATTTACCAGTTCCAAAGTTCTGTTCTGAAGACCTGAATCCTGCTAGGTGCAAATAGAACGGTGTGTGTGCATTCGAGTAAAGATGGGGCAACATGGTAACTAGCACAGGAATATGAGAATTATGAATACTTCTAATGCAAATATCTAGTATGAAAACTAGTTTCAATATGACTTCCAAATAGTACACAGCATTGTTCCTGTGCCCCCAAACGCCTCCAGTCAAGTTTTAACATTTCCTAATCAATAGGACATTTATGTGCAACGGGTAGAACACATTCTTGGTAAGGATCCCTAGAACCAAAGTATGACTTGAGGTGAGAGATTTTTATTTCCTCTTTCAAAGCAACCATTGTGAGATATAAAATTGATGTACTATTCAACACCAAAAAGGACCAAACACCAATATCATAAAATGAAAGCAAATAAATATTTCAGATGAACATTTAATATAATTTTCCCCCTCCCCCCCAGAATAAATTTTCACACCAGTTTGTCTGAATATTACCTTCAATGGCAGGACTGTATTGAGACATCACATTACTGGCCAAAGTTGGTAAGGAGACAGCCACAAAGACCATCAGAAGGCAGGCAATTTTATATTCTTCCTCTGGACTAATGTTTTCTGAAAACAAATAGAAATTTAGGAGATCCATTATACCTGGGTGGGTTCAAAACTCCTAAACTAATACTTCATCCATTCACAGCATTGGTAATGTTTCTGAGCCAAATTCTGTGTTATTTGGTTTGAGCTAACAAAGACCAGTACTTTAGAGTAGCTGGGGAAACCCAGCCAGATGGGCAGGGTAGAAATAAATTATTATTATTATTATTATTAATATTATTATTATTATTATTATTATTATTATTATTCCTATTCCACCAAGTGCGGCATAACAATACTCGTCTGTAACAGCTATCACTTTGTATAAATCAAGAGTATCTTGGTTGCATACCCCAACACATTTTCAGGGAAGGAAAACGTAACTTAAGAAAAACATGATGCATTTTTTTAATTCCTAGAAGAAAATTTATCTAACAGCTCTTCAAAGATTTTATAGCTCAATCAAAAGTAACCTAATGACAAATTGCAATTGCAAGAGGTTTCTTTCCTCTTAACTCCAGTGGTCAGCAAAGTTATTTCAGGCTTCCTTTTGAAAGATGCTCAGAATGTCTGCACGTAGGAACTAGCTCAGCATGGCCACCAACTGAGAGCTGTCCATAAATGACTACTACTCCTCTAAAGTAGTTTCTGTACCAGTATTTCACATTCCTGGGCCAACTTGAATAAAATATGGGGGGGGGGGAGGTAAGCCCCACCCCACATAACTGATCACATGACATGGCACATGCATACCACTGGAAAGCAATTCCCATAAACTGGGGGGGGGTATTTGCAGGGGGAGGGGGGCAAAGGGACCTTGGCCCCTAGGAGTTGGCTCCTGGGGCATGTGAGGGAGCCAGCCATAAAAAGTCACTCATCAATAACAGAAGCATTTGCAGCCATTTCAATGTAGTATTATCACTATTAACCCTGAGAAATACTAAGAAAATGTAACTAGAGATCAGAGCTGCAACATTCAGTCAAATACAAATGTAATTGTCATATATTTAAGCTGACAAACCCTCAGTTTCGGCATCTTGGTTAAATTATGTGAAGTGATCCATGTGTTCTGCAGAATACATGTATATTTGATACTCAATGTGTGCAAGTATAGTTTCTTTGACATCCTTTCTCCATTTAGAACGATATCATGGCTTAGTATTACAGGCAAACACAGCCAATATCCAAAAACATTATGCAGCAGCATACCTGATTTTTGGGAAGAAAGTGCTACAACCAGAGCAGGATCTATCTCACAAGGCAGTCCTGCAGCTGATGAGAGCTCATATACATTCATTGCAACCTGAGAGAGAGAAAGGTACTGCAGAGTGAAAAAGGCCAGAATAATTTTGTGGAATTTGTCAGAGCAGACATTGTAAAATCTTTTCAGTGTTCACATTAAGTTACACATGAGAATGGAACCATGGAAGAACAGAAGCACCTTTGGTGGCAGCAATACACCTAGCTTATAGTGAAAAGCTCCATTAGCGCCACTTCTGCTAGCTGGCTGTCATCTCTCTCACATGCCCCTCTGCCAAAAACTTGTATACTCTCCGAAACCATATTCAACAGCAACTTTTTAAGATTCCAAGTTCTCAAACTGGACAAACAGAAAACTTTGTTAAGCCAAAGCATATAATGCATTAAATTAATGCTGTCTACCAAGACTAGGTTCTGAGGCCTAAAGTGCAAAAGGGTTTCATAATCCATTAGGAGAATGGATGCTGATCAACTCAAAAACTAAATTGTTAGAAACACTTTCTGAATTACTTCCACTGAAATGCTGTGTCCTTTTTATTTTATGACTTGCTCCTTTAGTATAAGCCAGTGACTCCCAGCAGTTTGCAAAAGAGAAATACTGGAATCATAACTAACCATAGAAGTATGAAGCTATATTAATTTCATTTTAATGAGGTTTACAGAAATATATACAAGTGCTACATCTGTCTATACATTCCTGCTTTTGGCATAATATACATTTTTAGAAAGAACTAAAAAAACAAACCCCATTATTCTCAAAAGCAATTACCTTCATATCTGTCTCTCTTGGAATGTGATCCTTAAAGTCTTCAATTGAACTTACAAGGAAAGGAATGTGATATGATAAGACCTAAGACAAAGAAGCATGCAACAAAATTGTTACTTTTGGCTACTGTATCTCCTAAGACAGCATGTTATGACTTTGTTGCATTTATTCTACCCTCTCCCCTCAGTTTATGCATTAAGAAGCCTGGAAGCATCATGCCAGAATCTTGCAGCAGGAGTGGAAAAACACCGGCTAACAAGAGTTTTGAATACTGTATTGCTTTGGGTCTAAAACAGCTGTATGTCAATTTCCTTTATTTACTTTTAAAAAAATAAAAAGTGAAATTGTAAAGGTTTGATTCTTTCAGCATATGTATGCAACGTACTTAATTTCAATTAAGATTTGATTATTCGTATTTAGTGTTGCAATCCTTTCACCACAGCACAAGCAAGCTGTGTTTTATTCAATCAATTGATTATTTGTTGTATTTGACTAAAAGCCATTACAAATACACATTTACAAAACCAGCAAATCCAATAAAACCTAATTAAGAAAGATCCAGAAGTAAGCAACCATTTACAATAAATTAAATTAATGAATCCCTTGCACAATCTACAACGTTGTCTTTTATGTGGCTTGCACAAATACTTTTAGCGGCTTTTGCAAATAAAGCTGTTTTATATGGGACAAGTGGGTTGCAGTCAGGTAACAGCCAACGTATTTTCACTTTGGGGTTCTGTATCTGTAGCGGTGCCAACATCTGTTCCAAAAATCTCTTTCTGGGGTTTTGATAGATCTGAAAATGGAGTATGTAATGGGGAGGAGCTTCTACTTCACCTACCCCACAGACACAGAATCTTAAATGCCTTGGAATGTGCTAGTATTTAGCAATTTATTCACTTTTTACTTTTACTTATCTATTCTTAGGCTTGCATGTGCTTAAATGTCTAACACAAAAGTTATAATGCCAAATGCAGTACTTACATCTCTAAGAGCTTCTTGTGCCAATGACCGGAAAGATAAGATAACACCGATAATGGTCATCCTCTTCAAAACACTATCAACAGCTAGGGGGGAAAAGAAGAAGAAAATTCCAGGAACAAGAATGCTTTCTCCCTGCCCCTTCCTGTTTGATGTCTGTGGGAGATTGAGGCCATGCATAGTTGCCTCTCCACCAGCTTCAAGTCTCTCTCTCTCTCTCTCTCTCTCCTCTCTCTCTCTCTCTGTGTGTGGTGTGTGTGTGTGTGCATGAGTCACAGCATCACCCAGTCATGGCATCTGCCACAGACAGACTAATATTAACAGCAAATTAAAGTGGCCACTGCTGATGAAGCAACTTTTTTGGCACATCATAAGGGCGGGGGGGGGGGGGAGCATCATTAAGTACCAAAGGCACACCAGACTCACAATAATGTTCCTCATGTGGCACCAAAAGGCAATTTTAATTCCTTTACAAAAATGCTCCAACAGCTATTGAATAGTTCGTTCATCCACCAATTCACTCCTTGCTGGCTGAGCATTATGAGAATCTGGGAGAACGTGGCGACCAGCCGAAAGGAGCTCCTCAGTAGGCAACGTATCAGTTTTAAAACATTTAGGTTATCTTTCCAAAATCAAAAAGGTTCTCTGAGGCGGCCCGCACATTATAAGGCATGAATAGATGAAAAAGGCTACTAATGTGACTACCAACATATATATATATATGCTTTCGTAAGATTTTCACGGGTACAGGAATGCAGGTTTTGGTGTCCTCGGGTGTCTTCCCGTGTAAAAGTTGGGGTGTCTAGGCGACGTTTCGACGAGGTCTCACTCGTCATCTTCATTGACCATCAGGTTTTTTGTAGATTAGGACGTCAAGGAAGGGAAGTTGGTTGTTGGCTTCTATTTCCATAGTGAATTGTATTTTATATATATAAAATATACACACACACACGTACATGAGTGGGGATGTATATGTATGTGGGTAGCTTTATATATATATATGCATCTCTAGGTTTGTGTCATGTATGTACATTACAGCCTTAAAATGGAGACATTTATACAAAAGACAGCATGCACTTTTGGGGGCTGTAGCAGATGCTCCCCCACCAATTCCAGTGCTTCAAGCTATATGCAGTTTCCCAGTTAGGAGCATAAACTAAAATGGCACTACTTGCTAGTTACTTACACGACAATCTTTTGAAGAGTGCTGCCATCTGATCTGGTTTATCAAAACTGGTCCTCATTTGCGTTAGCACTTCAACGTTCTCTACCACAAGTTTCTAAGACGAAGCAAGATCTCAGGTCAGGCATAGATCTGAGTATAGTAACAAGCGGGTGCTTTAGGACATTTCAGCGTGGCAAGCAGGAAGCAGAGCTCATGAAATCCAGATGTTCCCATTATCTGACTAGTTATACTAGGTAAGGCCCAGCTATGCACCAAACAAAAAGCATACAGTGTGATAATAAAGGCTCTCTTCTGTTCCACAAAGCACTTATTGCTCCAGTTGTCTCATTAAACTTGAGCAGGGCTGCTGTAGAATAATGGAATTATTACAGTTTGAATGTCTTTTGCACAATGTGCAATGAAAACATGGGGGTGAGACACAATTTGCATACGGTTTGCCATTCTTAGTTCCGCTTTAGGATTTCCCTTCCATATGTTTTCATGTGGATGATTATCTCTCACAAGGTAAAGAAGAGGCATACACTTTCTGTGACAGGTCTGGACCAATCTCCTAATCACTGTCTCAACTCTATGAATAAAACCTTCTCTCCCTCCACCCCCAGCAAGTTTACATTTATTCACTGTAAACTAAGGGCAGACAACTGAAAACCCCTGAGTTCAATGCAGAACTTAGGGGTTTTTCAATCTGGCTCATCCCAAAGGGATTTCTCTTCCCTTTCAAGAGCTGCAAGCTGGTGATAGGTGGGCCACCCCTCCCCCCCCCATTCTACTACCCTCTTCTCTGTATCTCTCCCTCCTTGTCCAACAGGCTTGCTCTGGCTGAACACCTGAATTAATCACTTGCCAAGCGCATTCCTCTCACTACTCACTCCATTTGTTTTGGCTTCTTCCCCTATCCTTCCCCCAACTCCCTATCCTTTTCGCTAGACTCCCCTAACCACATAAAATTAGGCCAAGGAGCACATGTTTATTATCCCTGCTGACCAAAGCTAGAGACACTTCCCCATTTCCTGATGCTTTCTGTTAGTAGAAGCTAAACTATAAGCTAATTCAGAGACCCCTCAAACCAAGGTCATCTCTTCTGGAGAAGCAGCATACAGGAACACAAGTAATGACTGAAGTTTTGCACCAGGACAGCAAGGAACAAACTATGTGCTGGTCAGGATACAATCTAAACTGACTTGAGGCTCATGCACATTAAAAAAAAAGGGGGTCAAAGAAATAGAATGCACATGAGCAGATCCAAAGATCTTCCCCAGTATTTCTGTGCAGAGTGTTTAGACATATATTGCTTAAAAAGTCACTCCAACCAATGGCACATCATAACAAAAGACTTTTGTGTGTGAGGAGAATTGAAACGTCTGTTTGTAGTATGTTGTGAGTGTTCCTCATTCAAAGGAAAAGGGTCAAAACTCTGATGAGCAAGTACAAATGATTCGACTAGTCTAAAGTAGTTCTTTGGATTCAGGCCATGTATTCTTCCTATAAAGCAACTTCTCTGTCTTCAATTTTATATTTATAATATAAGCAATGATCTTCAAATTGCAGAAGCCACATTGGGATATGTTTTCACCTTATTCTAGCAACACCCTGTGAAAATGTTCCACATAAGTCTTTATCACTCAAGGGGCGTCTCATAGCGTCGCGTCAGGCACGTCGACATTCGCCGCTTGGGAATAGGACTCAGATGGGCACTAACCCGGCATACGGTGGTGAAACGCGGTTTGAGATGGAGGGGTATGAGGTCAGAAGAACCAAGTGTTGCGTTGAACCAGAGCTGATAAGGGGCTATGTCCCACCTCAAGTATATTCACCTTTACGTGAACATATGGGGCTATCCATAGAGCACGATGTTGGACAGACTATAGTGCTGGGCTGCGCCTTGTTAACGGTTACTGGTGACCTCAGGGCATGACTCTTAGGTCTATTTTTCTGTTCTGAGTGGATATGGAAACCGAACGGTGTCGATGCATAAGTAAGGGTCTTAGGTTTATAACGCCAGTTAGAAGAGCCGTGCGGTGATGCGATAACCAATCTTGAGAGTGTGCTCAGTCTCACGGTTTGAAAATTTGAATTTGGAAAAACTTAATTATCGCCATTGTCTTTAATTATATTCGCCATTAATGCAAATCCTAGGAAGCGGGTCTAGGATTATAGAGTTAACCACTAGGGTCACGTGCCAGAACGCAACCATTAATAATTCGGTGATTAGCTTAAAATTTGTCTCTATTCATGAGTTTTGATCGCCATTGGTACTCTCTATTTTTGAAAATGAAGTGGAACCTACTCCAAGAAATCTCTTACAACACAATCTAGCTCGTTAATTCAAAATTCCTCGTCACACTAACTAGATGTATATCTTTTTTGGGTCTAAGTACAATGTATGGGACCATAGGTTGGAAGAGTCAGTTAGCGTGACATATTATAATTAAAAAGAGTCAGAAAATCACTCACTTCCATCCTATAACACTCAGCTTCTAGCCTTGCCCAGTCAAGAACTAAAACTTACTGGGGGGAGAGGCTATTTGGGATCTGCATCGAAGAGAAGACCGTGCTAATGAGTGCCGTTCCCATTTCTCCCCCCTCGTAGTATTTATGTCTATGTGAGTGGACCGATCCATGTAAGTCAAGCATAGGGTGTGACTTAATGTAGTCAGCCTGCTTAGCCTAGGGTCCTCATAGACTACAGATGTTTTGGTATAAGAATTGTATCTGACACACATAGTTTGGTGTCCTTGCTGGTAACAATGCAGACTTGTGGTGGCGTTGTGGGCTGTAAACAAAGGACTTCAGCACCTTGTCAGTAGCCTTGAAAGCTAAATTGATGTTCCTCATCGTGTGCTATGATACTTGTATGAATCCACCTCTAGCTTCACCGGGACGATTAATGGATGTACACGTATGTCGTTGTCTCACGCGCGAGAAGTTCTTCAGTGTAACACATATGAGCTTTCGTCTGAGCATGAGGAGTCGCTATGTATGCTATCGGTCTCATGAGCGAGAGAAACAGTAGGGGACACAATGGTGAAGCATTCATATATATTAAGGTTGTACATAATGACTGTGTGCGATATCAGTCAAGTGTCTTATGTAGCTTCCTAGGTGGACGGTGCTCATACTCAAGGGAAAGTATTAAGACATATTATACCATGAGTTGTTCTACAAGCACATTTGATGGCTACATAAGATCATTTATCGCTCGACAGTCTATTAAAGTTTGGGCAATGTTCTACTACGAGCGAAAACGTGAAGGGGTGAGTATGGGAGTAGCTGCATTGACACTGAATTTGTCACTGAGAGTTGATCTTGAAAGTCCACGTAAAGCCACATCAACACACATGTATTAAGAATTGCATAGTCCTCGATGATGTTTTCCTTGAATAGTCAGCAACTTCATTTTAAATAAAAGTGTAGTTTGCTTTTAGTATGCAATAGAAAGCTAAAAGCTGTTGCCTATTGGCGTCCATTGTTCAAGTGGCATGTGATTTAGTTTTTCTTTGACATTATCTCAATTTCAAGTTGCATGGGGAAGCGGGGCACAGCTCAGATTAAAAGCTGCAATTTGCCTCACTTTCACCTTGACACTCTCCTCCCCCCAGATTTTTTCCTTTTCTGCCATGAAAACTTTTATCTCACAAAGCAAAAGGGGTACAGGATGAAAGCTCAGATTCTTACCATCTGTGTACAGACTGGTAATAAGGTTGGCTTCCCATGACTATCTAAGTGCTGGCGTTTTGTTGAAGGAGGCACGTTATTAAACACTCTTGTGATGTCAACCTGTACATAATTTCTATTGATTAAGGAGATACCGTCCAGATAGCGCACTCAATCAACACTTGTTAACAACTCAGAAAGGTTTGGCGATTCTCTCCTTTGTGTGGGCTTGGCTTTTTGTTCAATATTACCATGAAGCTCACATTGCAGACAATTAGACCTTTGAAAAGGAAAGAGTAAGTTATATTAGTCGGGCTAGTGAAGTGAACCTATGAGCGCTGCTCGCTGCTAATAATCCAAGGCTGGCCCAGGCCAATCCACTCTTATTCGCGGGAGAAGACAATGTTCGGCATGTAAAGGAGACGTTAACATAGCTTAGAACCCAGTGCTATGGGATAACATTTGGAAGTAAGATTTGCACCGAAATGGCACGCTGTACTTTTCTGACATGGTAAATCCGAGTCACTGTCAGATTAAACTCTGACGTTGGTTGCATGAAATATACTAGCCCAACACGTAGTAGTGAAGAGAGCTATATTCTGGCGGTGCTGGGGTGGGATAGTAGAAGCTGCCAACACTGGGAGGGCTGATGAGATCAAGCTACTCCCCACAGCCATAGTAACAGAAAAAGATGTAGAATGGAGGAGAAAAAAAATTTCAGAATAACAATGCTTGATGATTATGAACTTACAGTATGATATGACATATCATTTGGATTTGTAGGACGCATACGTGTGTTATAAAAGTCAGAATGTGATGTCTGACTAAAATTAAAAAATGTGTAGTGACACTAATATGTGTGGAAGTAACGCATAACGAGGTAATTGCCCCGGAGACCGTTCGGAGAAAATATTTATTTTGTTCCTATCTATTCCTCTTTTGTACTTGAGATAGCAAGTCACAGCTTTATTAAATCAGAATAACAGCAAGTGGCCAATATACTAAAAGCTCCCAGCATAGCTAGCAGGACGAACCAGTTCCTCTCCCACTCCTCAACTGTAAATGTTACATAGGATGTTAGAATATGTGCCATCATTTTTCTTTTTGTAAAATAGGATTGAATTCCTTAAGTAATACGGTGTGTCACTGGTGAGGACCGTGAGGCTGTTGTGTAGAAACTAAGCATGGTCATGGAAACTGTGTCTATGTCATGGGCAACCACTAGGCTGTGGCAAGTGCAGATAAGTAATGGTTCATGGCGATGAGAATGATACAAAGAGAAACCGAGGAGCAAATTGCCTGTTGGACAAGAGGGGAGAGATACAGGAGAAAAGCGGGTTCGAGTAAGCTCATAGGAGGGGGTGGGAGCGCAGGGTAGTGAGCTCTTCATAATTTAGGTCTATGAATTGGTCGAACATAGGATGAGGCGCATGAGAGTTTAAGGAAACGGGCATCACGATTATTCTTGAACTTCTAAAAGCTGTGTATAACTTGAAACGGTTGTTAATGAGAGATAAGCTGTCTAACGCCAAAGCCTATAGGTGTCGCGATAGTGAAGCTCGAGAATTGAGAAACATATGCAGCCTAGTTTATCTTCTTATACACAAGTTCAGCTTGCCCACTGACACTAAGTCAGTGACACTCAAGTCGGTCTGGTTTCAGAGATTCATCTATCAGACACTCGTCAGCTAGGTCTAACCAAAATCATAATAAGTGTTAGGCACAGCGGGCAGCAACCAACGCACGCAACTCCCACGGAGAGAAATAGTGCCACGATAATCTAAGATGGTGAGCGGACGCTAGAGCAATTTTGTGTTGTGGATTATGTTAATACGGGGCAGCGTACTATGAGATACGGAGTAGACGTGTGCGGCTGTTATGGAAATAACGCATGCATTTTTTAATGCGCCAGCTCAGAAAATGGTCTGTTTTCGGTTGGTATATTGTACGGCAGCTAACCTGTTTGTAAAAGTCTCGACTCGACTTTATGTGCAAGCAATTGCTTTTGTTAAAAGAGTCTCTTGGAACATGCGGGCTAACTATGAGCTGTATAGCTCACTTTGCAGTGTGAATCTGCTCCCACACCAATTTGAGCAACATCAAAGGGCCATAAGCATGGTAGTCCCTCAGTATGAATCAGGAGATAGGTCGTAGATGACCGCACTTGGGATGGAAGTGAGGAGAAGAGAACGATCCGGTAAAAAGAAGGACACTCTGACCATGGGTTACAAGGCGGTCAAGGAATGGTGGTACGCACAGAATAAGACCGTTGTTGTTGTTGTTGGGTTTAGAGGTAGACTGATCCGACGAGCACATAGACTGTGGGATTTTTGATATAGTACAACTATATAGGACTTTCGTTGCGCCAAAGAGAAGTCATCGACTTTTGTGAAGAGTTTTACCAGCCTGGGGCAGTGAAAAGGCAGCTCTGGGTGACTTCATGAAGTTTTTAAACTGATTTTAGGATACACTGTTCACCTCCTCTATCACTGGGGAAATTTTGTGTTAATGGGATTATATGATGAAAAGCAGGTTAAAGTATTCTTAAAAGTACTCAAGACAACTAAGTATCAAATGTGCAAGTTGGTACCACTTACTTAGTAAAACGGATTTCCAGGTGTGATGTTAAGTATCCCTTGGGGTAAAGGTGTGTTCCCACACAATCATGTTTGGAACGTAATTGATTGAGAAGCAGAGCTCAGAAAGTGCCGTGTGCAGTTTGTCTAGACTGCAAAGACAAAACAAAAAATATGCACACAAACATGTAAGCCACATAAGCAAAGCCATAACTATTACAGCCCCCTTCCACCTCAACCCAAAAAATATTAAAGATGGGTAAGGATATATAAGCTATTTTAAAGCACAGCCACATATTACCCTTGCCTATGCTAAAAACAATGGCATAGGTCATATACGTACAAGACAGGATTATTATACCTCACCCTTTTTTTTTTTAGCATGCTAAATGGGAATGCAGAAAAGGATTACTGTTCATAAAGGTAAGGTTGTTTTACAGGATAGGAATGCATGACATATTTTTATATAAACACATAGGATGGCATCCAATTGGTGTTTCTCTACTGACAGAAGGTACCAGTCAGTGAAATTGGGAGGGATATATTTTCCAGTAATTCCCAGTCTGCAGCAGATTTGGAGGAAGCCATTGATGGAAACCTCCTCTCTTAGTGTTCCAATGCCTGATGCCTTCTTGTCAGCAGATGACATCAACTGGATATGACCCACAAGAGCATTTTTTAAAATATATCTACAAAATGCCAGTGAATTGGTTCAAGAAGTTAGACTGCCTGTCAAGCAACATTCAAAAGAGAAGATAAGGATGAAAAAGACTCACTTGGTCACCACCAGCCTGTTTTTTCTCATGCTTTCTACTCCTGGTTTTTCTCTTTCTGGTTCTCCTTTCTTACCCGTCTGTTTTTTTGACTTTTTATTCACTGCTTGACTGATGGTTTTGGCACAATGCTTTGGCAGCAACTTAAAAAAAAAATGCAGTTAGTTTCAAAATAGAGCTCCAGTTCACAAAAACCAATCACCATTAAATAGATCAAACTTCGCATTTCGATTTTAAACTGTTCATTTTGTTTCCAATATACCAAATACTTGCAAACTACTCGATACCAACTCAAGTGATTTCAATGTAGTTACTATTCCTTCTAGTTAAGAACAGGAGAAGAACAGCCTTCTATTACAAATATTATAAGCAAAACTTTATTAGAACCTTGTGGAAAACTTTATCATATTTTAAGAACAAAGGAGATGGCACATTTATATGAAGACTCTACACCAAAGGGCTTGCAAACTAAAAATAAACCCAAGGAAAATAAAAAAGGGAGGGAAATGGAAGCAGGGACTAAACAAAGAATGTGCATTATTTCAGTGACTCATACAGAAGCTTTGCCACAGCAGGGTAATGGGACTAAAATTAAATTCTCACCTGGTCACTTAGAGTACATTGCTCAGTGCAAATATCTGTGATAAGGTTCCGAGCCTGCTTAGCCATTTCATCCAGGAACATGTTGCAAAGGGAAAGACTACGGTCCCCAATGTGATGTCTCTATTAAGATAAAAACAGAAATCTTGTTTTTCCAAATTGTTGCCATAGTGCTTAAAAACATTTTTTAAAAAAATCATTATCAGTGAAACATGCTTGCACTAAGTTCATTTAAACAATGAACCATGGAACAGCAATAAATCAAGCCTCACAACCAGAAGTTATCTAAATCTATTTGCTGAAGATCCAAAAAGCTTGATTTAAAAAAAATAAATGTATCCAAAGCTGCTCTAGCAGAGCTCTGCTGGCACCACAGGACTTCCGTTTCTTCTTCTCCCCCTGTGCCCCTTTTTTTCTGGAGGGTTCTTCCGGAGCTGATTTTGAAGGTGCACAGGGGAAAGGTGAGGAGGGAAAATTTCACTTCTGTATCTGCACATCCCTTGCACTAGCAGAACGGGAGCACTGGATACTGTTCATTATGTATACAACTTAAAATATCCACTTAATCAAATGTGGCTCCCTAAAAAACCAGAGTTAAGAAACAAGTTTTTGTAGCTGTAAATTTCAACTTACTTGCCACACTTCTCTATCCCATGCCCCCAATTTACTTATGTTTCTCTACCTTACTCTCTTCTTGTGAAAACCAATATCAAAGAGAAGATTATGGGTTCTTTACCTCTTCTGGGCACAGCTCGTGGGTGCAGCTCATAAAGTGAGTGCAAAGCAGTGGGAATGCAATGGAGTATCTGGACTGAGAGGGTAGTTCCAAACACTGCTGAAACATCTTCTCAAAAGCACGGCTATAGAAACTGTTCAGAAACACAGGTTAAGTTTTCATTCCACTGGGACAAAGTAATTACAAAAACAAAACAAAAAACAATTTAACAGATGCAACTAAGCACATGAAAAATTTCAAATGCCAGCCATTTTATCCCATGTCCACACAATCACTGAACTTGAGCAATTACATGCACTTGTACCAGATCCTAATAATAAAAGAGTTGTACTCATGGCACTTTACATTACCAAGGGAACTGAAAGCAGGGGGAAAAGAATGTATTATTTAAACCTCCCACTATGTGTACTGTAGCACAGCAAAATCAATGACTTGATGGGGGGGGGTGAAATTAATGGGGGTGCAAAGTGTTGGATTATGCTACCCCCAAGTTACCCTTAGGGGTAGTATAAGCTGCTTCTACAATTTCCAAAAGGACTAGTAAGACCCAGCATAGGTTAGGATTACTCACTTCCACCCTCTACAGCATGTAGAACTTACTAACCAGGCAATCCTAAACACATCTACTCAGAAGTCCCAACTGAGTTCCATTAAGCTTAGGCCCATTGCATTTTAAACATTCATAGCATTTCATAATTTGCACCTTCTCTTCACAGAAATCCTAGAGATAGGTATTTGTAATTTTCCTTTGTACAGAATATGTTATCTTCCTGCTGCTGCAGAAGGAGACCTGAGAAATACAAGACAGTCTCCAGCTGACTGCACATTGGCTCTTCCCCAAGAGCAAAACAAAACAAAAATCACAACCACGAGAAAGCTTTAGAATGAAATTAAACAACATACCAAAATATAGAAAGATCAGATGTTTCCACCAACATCTCCACCAAGGAATCTACCATTTTTGTGTGGAAAATGATTGTGTTCATCATCTTTCCAAGTTCTCTGTGGTCTGCGAGGCCAAGCGAAGCTTTAGATACACTAGTATAGGCCTGTTGGCACATAAAAAAGTAACAATTCACATTATCCAGGTTCTAATTCTCATCTAAAAATCTGCCTTCATTTGAATGCAAGCATTAGTTTTTAAAAATGAGCAAAATCTACACACACACACACACACACACACACACACGGTAGCACTGTAGCTTGCTCTAATTTGCTTGGGGCAAGTCAAGTTTATAATGCAACCCATTCTAAGCTGCCTTACTCCTACATATCTACTTTTGGAACATGCTGAGGCTTTGCTCATTCTTGAAACTGGGACTTTAAAAAATGTACAGATCCACAAAAGAGGTTATTTGAGGATTCACTAAGCAAGCCTTATTTTTCAGTTGCTTTACTTGTACTTAAGAGTCAAATTCATATTTATAGACAAAACCTGCTTATAATATTTGTTGAAGAAAAGGTAAATATTTTCATAGTGGCACCCTACTAGGATCAAAACAATATCAGGGCATAGTAATGCCATACTATTTTGCTACTGCTGCAGATGTTACTTGAAAAGGGCTGGTTGTTCAAAAATTCCTCTTAGTTTGTAGCCAAAGATTTACTGGGCCCAATTTCAAAAAACAGAGCTTGAAGCATATACCATATTGTCTTATTTTGGAAGGTGGGTTTTTTGTTTTAAAAACAAACCTAAATCCAGCATTGCATAAAAAGGAATGTATGTTCTTCCAACTCTGTTTGCCTTTACAACTTCTTTGAACAACTGAGGAAAACCAGGCCCTTTTACATTATCTCCCAACCAACTTCTAAGAAAAATGACTGGCTTAGTGTCTGGCAATGTGACCTTTCTACAAAGGTTCTCTTTGAGTATGTGTAATAAAGTGCTGAAGAACAGGACATAACCTTCTCAACTCTGATTTGGCCGTACAGCTTTGTTATTACAGACTTTTCTTCTATCCTTATCACTCTATTTCACGCTTCCTGAAACTGTTTGATGAAATTCTGTGCTCCTGCTTTGAACAATGGGTGTGTGTGTGAAAACGTCTCCTGAAGTTTATCCTATGAAAAAAGTACATTGATATATGCTACTTAAGGTATTTCATGTGCGATTCTACTTTAAAAAGTAAAAGCAGCACAGGTTTTTTTGAATATTTCATCTCCTTTTCACAATGCCTGCCTTTTCTGAACAACACATATGAATTAATCTATCCTTCTTTACAACTTTGCATCATTCATATTATGAGCAGTAGCAAAAGCAATGGTAGTCTACTACTGAATTTACTCAAAACTAGTCAGCCTACATATTTTTCTCCACCATGATCTTGGCTTTATCCTCCTTTTAGCTGTTTTGTTTGTTTGTTTGTTTGTGAAAAACACCCTGCTCATACTGTGAACCATTCCCTTCCTGAATGTCTGTTTGGGAATACATGAATTTTCAAAATGTGAACTCAAATATTTAAATCAATTATTTTAAATCACTTTGATTTAAAACTGATCTACTCTTTAACACAGGAAAGCAATATTGCTTTGACGAGTGCACAATAGTAATTCTTACCTGTAATCTAAACCAATCGAGCCTCATTCCTCTGAAGTCAAACACCTCCCCATCTTCAACTGCATCATGTGGAAAAATAAAATATGAAAAAACCATTTGGACAAATGTTTCACCCACTTAATACACATATTTAAAGTCAACAAAAAATGGAGGGGTGGGGAGAGCTGGCATGTGTATCTTATTTACAGAGCAGTCTTATGTGTATTTACTCAGAAGAAAGACCCGCACTTTTTAGTATAATTTATTCCCAAGGTAAGCATGTGTAGGATTACGCTCTCAAAAGTATACCGTATTTTTCGCACCATAGGACGCACTTTTTCCCTCCTAAAAAGCAAGGGAAAATGTGTGTGCGTCCTATGGAGCGAATGCAGGGGGGGAGGCAGGCGGGAAAAGCCCTCAAGAGCCACACACAAGCTTCGCGCGCTCTTGCGGGCTTTTCTCCAGGAGGGAGAAGGGACTGACTGGCTGCAGCAGTCCCTTCTCCCTCCTGGGGGAAAAGCCCCCAAGAGCGGCGCCCTCTTTAAAGGCTGTGCGGCTCCTGCAGGCTTTTCTACGAGGTGGGGGAATCCCCCCACCTCCCAGAAAAGCCAGGAGAAGCCGCACCGCCCCTTTAAAGAGCGTTTGGCTTCTGCGGGAGGTGGGGGAAGCTGCAGCAGATTCCCTCCTCCTGGGCTCCCTTTGAGGCGGCAATGTGGGAGGGGAGCAGCTTACACTCGTGTAAGCAGCTCCTCTCCCACTTTCCTCCTTCAAAGCAACTACGGAGGAGGGAAGGAAGAGGACCATGGATCCTCCGCTGCTGGAGGCGTGATTGCTTTGAAGCAGGAAAGTGGGAGGGGGGCAGCTTACACTCGTGTAAGCAGCTCCTCTCCCACTTTCCTCCTTCAAAGCAACTACGGAGGAGAGAAGGAAGGGGACCATGGATCCTCCGCTGCTGGAGGCTTCAGCGGATTCCCTCCTCCGTGATTGCTTTGAAGCAGCAATGTGGGAGGGGAGCAGCTTACACTCGTGTAAGCAGCTCCTCTCCCACTTTCCTCCTTCAAAGCAACTACGGAGGAGGGAAGGAAGAGGACCATGGATCCTCCGCTGCTCGAGGCTTCAGCGGATTCCCTCCTCCGTGATTGCTTTGAAGCAGGAAAGTGGGAGGGGAGTAGCTTACACTCGTGTAAGCAGCTCCTCTCCCACTTTCCTCCTTCAAAGCAACTACGGAGGAGAGAAGGAAGGGGACCATGGATCCTCCGCTGCTCAAGGCTGCAGCGGATTCCTCCTCCGTGATTGCTGGGAGCTTCTCTGGGCAGGAATTCCCTCAGCTTAAGTGGGGTGGGGGAAGAGTGGCAGGTAGGGGGGTACCTACCTAGACACTGAAGCCACATGTCTCTCAGATGAAAATTGGGAGTGGGCATTGTGTGAAGTGGCTGTGGATCTCCTGCCGCAGAACTGTAGGACTGTATAGAGTTGGGAGGGCCACCCAAGGGTCATCTAGCCCAGCCCCCTCACAATGTAGGAATCACAGCTAAAGAACGCCAGGCAGATGGTCCCCCAACTGCTGCTTAAAAGCCTCCAGTGGTGGAGACCCCAAACACCTTCCGAGGTCATAGAATTGCAGGGTTGGAAGGGAACCCCAGGAGTCATCTAGTCCAGCCCCGGTGGACAGCAGGCGCAATCCATCCCATTGCGCAAGACTAAAGATGCTGCGAAAGGCTAAAGAAGAAGCCAAGGCAGCGAGCGGGATGGATCGCGCTTGCTGCCTTGTCTTGTTCTTTAGCTGCACTGGAGAGGTTTAGCTCCTGGCTGGAGAGGTTGCGCGGCTATGGATCCCTCGCACCGTCTTGGCTTCTTTGCTCTTTGGGGCTGGGGGGGGGGACCCGGGCTTCCCCCGCAGCCCCGAGAAGCTCTGGGAGAAGTGGACAGGCTGCGTGCAGCCTGTCTGTTGCTCTTTGGGGCTGGGGGGGGGATAATATTTTTTTCCTTGATTTCCCCCTCTAAAAACTAGGTGCGTCCTGTGGTCCGGTGCGTCCAATGGAGCGAAAAATACGGTACATGCCTTACAGTCCAGTCCATTCTGAACTTAATGGGATTAACTCCCGTGCAAGTATATATAGGATTGCAACCTTAGTTTTTCACAAGCCAATGGACAGCAAATGTAGGGTTTCCAAAGGTCATCAGAAAAAGGCAGCAATTCACAAGGCTTGTATGCTCCTCTCATGAACATGGCAGTGTCCTCTTGATGCAGAAATGCACAGAGGATCTGAATGTTACGTATCTATCTGCAATATGTACAGGAATTAGTACTCTCTAAGGCAGCAGATTGTCTTGGACTGTAAGTTCCACCTTCCCTGCTATTGCCCATGCTGTTGGGAGGTGCTGGGAGTCGGCCCAACAAAATCTGCAGAACCTCATGTTACCCACTTAAGACACACTATTTCCACTTTTGCTATGGCAGACATAGTTTAAGTTCATGGCTTACATATACATAACTTACCTTGCTTCACACTTAAGGAGGTCATGGTGTTTACAAAAGAGGACATAATGATGGACTCATCTTCAGGGCATACCGAAAGATTCTAAAAATCAGAAACCAGGACACTACTGTGTTATAGCAGTTATTTTGCCAGCTACACAATTATCACTGCATCACAATAAAGTGGAGAACACATCAACGGATATGTGGCTGGCAGGAAACTCCTGTTCAGCTCCATCTGGACCTCAGCCTGGTGCTTGTCTGTGTATGAGATCACAGGTTATGGTATGAAGGCACATGAGGCCACCACTTAAGTAGGTCTGGGCCTTATTGCTGCCTGAATAGCACACAGGCTCCACAATGAAAGAAATGTGGGATATAAATATAAGGACATAAAATTAAAAAGTAGCGGGATAAATAGTGAGTGGTGCCAGTGGAGCACATGTAGGACTAAGATGCACATAGTTTATGTATGAAAGAGTACTGAGTGTGAAGTACATGAGAAGAAGGGCAGCTGTATACAGAGAGTCTGCTTTCTCTCCCTGCACCACCTCAAAATCAGCCCACAAACTTTCAGACTTCCATCTGGGCAATTAAAGTATGAAAACTGTTTTTGTGACATAGGGTTGCGAAGTGGGGTTAGTATTATTTCATGGGTGCCAATGTCACTTAATCCACCTAATGTCACTTAATCCACCAAGTCTATGATGCTTGCAATTTGTTTCTCAATATAGGGAATCAAGAATTTAGCACATTTTCAGCAGTAGTCCAAAATAATGGAAGTTATGAGCGCTGTATAATAGGAGCCTGAATATTTATTTGTGAAAGCAAGACCATTTTAAAGAGCTCCCCTGCCCATTCAGATGTAATAAACAAATGCTATAATGTACACAATTAAAGGGGCTGAGAACTGCAGAGAAGAGACACTGGTTGCTGATTGACTCCATTTTGTTTTCAAACAGCCTTCCCTCATTACAATGTCATCTTAACTACATGCTATTGAAAATTAACAAAAAGATTATTTCCTCCCCAATACAAGCAGCTTTATCCCTACAGGATGACTACTAGTTTAAATTTTGAACATCTACGTGGATGTGTTGTGTAGTATAAAATCTGAGCTCCATCTAGTGGGCAATGAAAAAGAAAAACAGTCATTTTTCACTGATTGATGGTAACTATGTATCTGTGATTGACTGGTGTCTTTACAAAATATGTAGGTTCTATGGAACCGGTATATCCTGTTTTAGTCTTCGGGTCGCTTAATAGAAGTTCACACCTTACAGGATACTTTAAAGGGTATTTTAACTTCTTAGCATTTCTTCACTCAGGATGAAAATCAACAAGTCAGTACTTAATTCAGTACTTGTAACCTTTTTATAGCAATATCCTCACCACTTACCTGCACAAGTTCATTTAAGACAACTGCATCAAAGCCCGATAGGTACTGCACATAGTATCTTTGCATAACTGGGCCATATTTTCGTACATGTGCCCTGAGCTCTTCCATGTAGAAAATCAGCTCCGCTATGTGCCTTAGGAACGAAAGAGAAACAAAGAATATTGACTAATGTAAGCATGTGTGAAAAATGTCGTGGTGTGAAATTCTCATTTTCAGGCTATTTATTGGTTCTTAAATCATGGTTATTTGCTACTTAAGTATATCCAAGTTTTCAGTGAGATAGAGAGAATGCTAGCAGGGAAACTACATGTGGAAGGCCATAATTAAGTAAATAAACACATTCGCTTTATTACTGAAAAAGCTCTCTAGCTTTGCCCCAGTGAGCCCACATAATTAAAGAAAACAGCTATTAAAAGATATTTTTGGAAGAAGGGGGGGTGCGAAGCGGCGGAATTAAGAAAACAAAGAGGGGTGGTTTTGCTGACATCACCACTCTTGTTTTCAAGCCCAGTGGGAAGCTACTTGCAGAAAATGTTAAGGGCTGGGTCACAACATGCTTTGAAGTTCAAAAGAAACACTTTTGAAAACAACCTATGGGACAAATGTTCCTGTTGATCCTCTAGAACTGCAATAAAAAGTGCACGGCACACACCCTCTTACATTGCTCTGATTAGAAAAGTATGTGTTGTTTTGGGGAGCAGATTGCTGGGTGCTGAACAAGAGAAGGCAACATTCTTCTAGGATCCTGGAGTACTATCGCCAAACTGATCTTGAAGGTATTATCTTAGCAGACCAAGCTTGGACAACTATTAAAGGCCTGCCACTACTCGTTTATTCTGTTGTGATATCAAGATTTTCTACATTTTGTAAATGTAAATCAGCTAATGGAACTTTATGTATGTGAAGAACCACATGCCGGTTGGGAAAAAGGCATTCAACTATTAGTTTATATATATATATAAGTGAAGTTTCAATACAGAAACAATTTGCAAAGACAGAAAAAGTGAATCTAGATTCCGTTAAGTATCTGAAGAAGTGTGCATGCACACGAAAGCTTATACCCAGAACAAACTTAGTTGGTCTCTAATGTGCTACTGGACAATTTTTTAATTTATTTAGAAAAAGTGACTGTACAACTTGCTGAAGAGGGCTTCATATTTACACCAGGAAACTATCCCCCAATTACTGGATGTACTTTGGAGAGTCACAAGACTCTGCTGCTTTTGCTGAAACAGACTAAGAGTTATCCCTTTGGAAATGGTTACAATCTAGACTAGAGAGTTATGCAATTAACTGTTGCACGCTCAGCGCAGCTTTTGTTTGTGATCTGAACACACAAACACACAGGAATGATAAGCTGCTTTTAAGACTTAGCCTGCACTCCTATACACACATTTCTGAGAGTAAATACCACTGAATTAAATGGGGCTTACTTTTAAGTACACATGTATAGGATCGCACTTTTAATGTCATTTCAAGGCAGGACTACAGTGTAGCAGCAGGCGTGTGAAGAATCAAAGAAAATGTTCGAAATCTTTTTAGGGAAGCTTCTACGTAAGCTCTCTGGACTAAGGCCAATGTGGCATTTTTCACCACTACCCTGCCCAATGCATGCTGACTGTTTAAAGGAGTTGAGTATGGGGACGTGGCTAGATAGACACGAGACCTTTGCTATATGAATTCCAGCACATTATTCTGAACTGAATAGCTTTGCATTTATTACACTCACAAATGTATCTTAATAAAATTTTGTTTTCACATCCCACAGCAGTGAAGGGAAACATTATTTTAACATATCTAGGAATAACAGTGATCAACCAAGTCAAGGAAAGAGCCTCCATATATCAATGCAATCAAGACCACAATGTGCCAGAAGAAGAAAAAAACCAAGTAGTAGAACCCTATACCAAAGTGCTTTGGCAGCAGCAGGTTCCATATCATGCAAGAAATCTGAATTTTAAAATATACCAGATATGAAACGTACTTATCTATGAAATCATCTGCACTCTTCTTTGGCATGTTATCTGCGTGTCGTAGAAGCCAAATAATTTCATCACGAGCAAACGATAATGCCATAAAGACAAAAAGTGCCTGGAAAAAACCAAACACACATTAAAATGTTTCCCTTTGTAGATATTATAAGTGAATGTACAGCAAATGGAAATGAACTCTGCGGATTGTGCTCGTAAATAATTTCCCTTCTACTTACTAAGCTTACTTACCTTGGGACCCAACAGTCCTGGCTGATCTGACAGGACAGTAGCTAGTTCTTTCAGTGCAGACCGTAAAAATTTGCGTCTTTCTCTGTGCATTGAACCACTGTTTTCAGAATACAAATACTGCAATTAATCACCAATATACTATACTTCACAAATTATTTGAAGTTGTGCTTAGAGTCCATGGCAGTGCATTCTCAATTAAAAATGGTGTTTAAAAACCACCTCTCATATTGCTCCTGAAGATCAAGTTTTAATACATTTGTGAGGCCATTACATTTTCATGTTACCAGTGGAAATAAAGATTTAAAGAAAACAGTTATGTAAAATCTGTTTTGGCAGTTTTTTATATTGGCTGGAACATTGCCTCTGACTTTTATGTAATGTATACAGCAAGCCGGTCTGAGAAAAGAGGTGGGAAGCATGTGGCTCTCCAGATTTTTTGGGGACTCCAGCTCTTAGCAGCCCCAGACAGCATGACCCACAGTCATGGATAATGGGAGTTGTAGTCCAGTAGTACCTGGATGGTCACATATTTGCCACCCCTGTACTAAATAATAATATCCAAGATCTGACCAGCCATGCCTGGAGAGCTCAGTTGGTTAGAAGGTGGTCTGATAACACCAAGGTTGCAGGTTCGATCCCTGTATGGGACAACTGAATATTCCTGCATTGCAGTGGGTTGGACTTGATGATCCTTAGGGTCCCTTCCAGCTCTACAACTCTATGTAAGGCAAAGGTAGGAAATGATTTTCATCCCAGGGTTGAATTCTTTTCTGGGCAATCTTCCATGAGCCATATGCCCAGAGTGGATGGGGCCAGAGGTCAAAGCGGGCAGAGTACTTAATATGAATTTTACCATTGTACAGTAGGGTACACACAGTAACCACTCTGCCCTCCATCCAAGCAGCATTACCAGAGTTCAAGGACATGTTCCAGTCAGGCAAGAATAGTGCAAAGCAGAACTGCAAGGGATGTGGCCTGTGAGGATATGTGTGTGTGTGTGTGTGTGTGTCCCCTTAAGAGAGTTCAAAGGGCCAGATAGGGGTCTGGAGAGACACATTTGGCCCCTGGCCCTGAAGTTCTCCATTCCCAATGTAAGGAAACACAGAGTGGAATCCATCGTATAAAATATAGGCTTGGATTGAAAGATCCAGCTGGTGAACAGGAAGCAAAATCAGCTACAGAGAGATGGACCTTCCAAGTATGTAGGAGCAACAGATGAGGAAAGAGAAACTGGCAACTCTCTCCCCAAAACAAGCAGGAGATTCTTCTGTTTGCCATGAGGTACTTTTAAGCAACTATCTTTCGAAATTGCTGACAGAGTTGTATAATTTGGCTAAATACTAAAACATGTAATTAGTAGTATTTTATAAAAACATATTTTACAGTACACTTACGCATGTGATACAGCCGCTTCCTTGCACTCTCGTATGTCGTTAATACGTTTGTTATAGCTGCAAGTGTAAACAAAATGTATAAACATATTGGTGATAAAGACTTCCCATCTCTCTACAATTGCATCAGAAAGAACAACTTGCCTTTAACTAACCAGTGTTAAGGTCCTGTATTTAGATCAAATGCCATCTCAGACTTATGAATAAGTGAACGTGGAGCTAGGCTTCAATTTCTGAACAAAGTTGAAAGGCATGCAACCAAAAGCAAAGTTTAAATTTAAAGCAGCTCCAAGAATTAGGTGTAAAAAACCCGAATTCAAGCACAATGAAGAACCTGGGTAAAGGAAAGTGGGGTATTTTATGTGGAGTAAAGTAAAAGGAGGGAGAGCATATGCTGCTGCTTTCTCAATCTCAACCCTAGATATCACTGAATTCCACAAGATTTCTCTTGTTCATCTATCTCTCATTTGCCACTATATGCATATATATAGCGAATGCAATAAAATCTAATCTATATCTATATTTCAAAAACCGTACCCTCTTATGTTTACAAACAAGTCTTCTGCAGCTTTGTGAATATGGAAAACTTCATCCCGAAACAGAGCCAAGCAAGAACTGCTTTGAAGAGCAAGCTTCCAAAGGGTCAAAGCAGTTGCATCACTGTTCAGGACTCCATGGCACAAAATAAACCCAACTTTGAAAAGAGAAAGAGAAATCAGCATTATGTAAAACTCATGGTGACAAATTCAAACTGTTGTCTGTACCACCAGTGGTCCACAAGCTTCATTAAGGTGGTCTGCAGCATTCAGTGGATTTGTAGTTGAAGATAGGAGATGACACATCCATTGTATTAAATATTCATATTGATTTTTAATGGTATTTTAATTATTTGTCCTATTTCTTATATTGCATTTAACTGTATAGGTGTCTCCCCACTTGAATGCAATCAGCATGTGCGCTCCAGCTGACACACACGCAGAAAACGGTGCAAAAAGGGGGTGGAACAGGGCCAGAAGCAAAATGGGGTAATCCTCACTTATGCACATCCTGGTGATGCGCACGGCTGGCCCAAAATGGAACCCCCATGTAAGTGGGGATTCCCCTGTACTACAACTCCATGGAATGCAATAAAATCTAATGTAAGAAGAAATAAGCAGCACTAAAAACACAATTAAAAATCATACAGCATCTAGCACAGTGTGTTACAATTGCTATAACAAGCTGAAAAATCATTAAGTGCTCCACTAAGATGCTCAGCAATTTTCAAGGGGTCCATGGGGGGGGGAGGTTTGGGAACCACCGTTTTATAGGAACATGGGAAGCTTATAATGAGTTAAACCATTGGTCCATCTAGCCCAACAAGGTGACTGGCAGGAGACAGAAAGGAGCTTCTGCATGCAAGTGAGATTGCTCTGTCACATGTGTGGTCTTCCCCATAGATTTATTTTACTGCAACTAACAGGTTAATCCTCAACCTACTTGTCATTCAACAGTCAATGGACTGTAGTCAGCTAAACAGTTCCATTAGGACAAGAGCTTTTGGCTATGCAGCGGAATTTCGTTGCCTCTCCTTTCCCCACTTATCTGAATCTGCTACAGAGGGTGGGGGAACCCAGAACATATTAGGAAGGGGACACATGAGGGATGTATGAGTAAAGGAAGCTCCATTGTATGGCCAAAAGTGCTTGTGGCAGTGGAAATGTATGGATGCTGCCCAAGTATCCTAACGTAAGTCCACAGCTCACAAGAATCAATTTAGGAATAAAGGCTTAATATAGAACAGTGTTTCCCAACCTTTTTTGGGCAAAGGCACACTTGTTTCATGAAAAAAATCTCGAGGCACACCACCATTACAGCCCCGTGACGTCAGCGCGCAGCGTCACGCCGGGAGGGACATGAATTGCTAGCAAATTACATAATCACCTCCTTGAGGGCTGGCTCATCTTCTCCGAAGGCAGAACCCCATTAATTAACAGCACAGACTCACACCATAGCCAAGACAAGGGGGGAAAACCTCAGTCATGCACAGTCATGCACATGTGGGGGCTAAATGAGGACGAAGACCGGGCAGAGATCAGGGTTCAAATCACCCCACCTGGCCAGGACAATCCCTGGGTGCTCCCTTGGGCCACTCGCCTGACCCACCTCGCAGGGCTGTTGTTGCGAGGATAAGACGGGGAGAACCACGCGCGCCCCCGGGAGCTCCTTGGAGGAGAAAGCGGGCGATGAATGCAATGCACGAAATATATGAGAGGCGACCAGGTTTTGCAGGTGAGGGGCCCCCGCCAGCCTCCGCTTCCAACACCCGGCGCAACGACGCCAAGTTTCCCCCCGGGCTCGGCTCGGGGAGCAGCGCTGCTCCCCCCTGGCTCCCCTTCGCCCTCCCGGCTCTCTCTGCCGCCCACTGAGGACCCCCCTCACCTGCCAAGTCCGGAGCGCCGGTGGAAGTTGCATGCATGCATGCAGGGCGCCGCGTTGCCATTGCATTGCACTGCACTCCATGCAACGCCTGCATGCATGCATTGCCTTGCACGCCTGCCAAGGGGTCTCCCCGCGGTCCGATGCGTCCCCTCCGGCGCGGATGCAGCATTGCAAAAATAAACCCCCCCCAACGCAGCCCTACCTGGGGGGCAGCCTCCGCCTCCGCGGGGATCCCCGGGCTCCATCCTGCCGCCCGATCTCCGCGGGGGCGCAGGCAGGCTGCGCGGGGTCTGCGCGGAAGAGCCCCTGCCCGCCCGGCCGCCGCCGCTGCGCTCATTCCATGGCCGGGAGAAGAGCGCTTCAAACAAAACGCCCGGCCCACCAGGCCACGCTGGGAAACGTAGTTCGCGCACCCCGCGCGGGCGCGGAGCCCAAGGGCAAGGGGACTACGGATCCCGGCAGCCCCCGCGCTGGGGACGGAGGGGGAGAGGCCGGGTGCAGGGATGGAGGGACGGGTGGGCGAGCGAGTGAGTGAGTGGCAGCCGCCAAGCCTTGGCCAAGAGCCAGGAAGGGCCTCCCCGGAGGAGGAGGAGGAGGAGGGAGGCGCAGAGCGGGAGGGAGGGAGGGAACCCCAGGGGTCATCTAGTGACGGCGCCCCAATCGAAAATTTGACTTTTTTTTTTTAAAAAAAAACTTTCAATTTTTTAATTTTTCCCGCGGCACACCAGGCAACATCTCACGGCACACTAGTGTGCCGCGGAACAGTGGTTGGGAAACACTGATATAGAAAATGCACAGTAGAAAGAAATGCTGATAAATCTGATTATAAATTTGCAACATCAACATGGGAAGCAATTTTTGAAAGAGAGGCTCAGGTCCCACCCTACTGGATAAGATAGCAAAACAAAGTTTGTGCATTTTACCCATAAATAGTATATCTTTTTTCTAGCACATAATCTGCATTTATTTATGCTGCAAAATGAAATTCTACAGCATGTATAAGTACTCTTGAACTGGCCAAATACAGTAACAAAACAGCCAACGGTGTCAACTTGCACAAAGAATTTTATCAAATGCAAAGGAGTCTTTCTCTCCTCCCCCCGGCAGCTCCTGCTCCCACCCTTCAAAAAGTCCTCTGGAGATTTAGGAGAACCTGTCAGAACATATTTGATGGGTGGGAAAAGAGAAGGGGCAAGTCCAATTGCATCTGCTGATGTGATGTTTTGACCCATAGGACAAAATCCAGCCAAAGTTAAGTAGTTAAAAGTTCTATTACTTCCCCATAGATACCAATGGAATTAGAAGTGCTTAGCTCTGGAACATGCTTACAAAATTCCAATACCTCAGCACTTAGAGCTTACACAATTGTAACATTGCCTTTTATTAATGGGATAATGAGATCAGAATAGCCTCAGCCTAGCTCCCATATATGAGCTCCCTGCACACTCCCGCCCAGTGTCTTCACTAAGCTAATAGCTAAGTCAATACCAATGCTAGCCATGGTTATTGCTAAGCACAGTTTGTTTTAAAACCGGGTTTGAAAATTGTTAAAGAATCCTGATAAAGACCAAACCTTCATTACAATTATGTTGGTAAGCTGTGAGTGCATTTTGCACATATGAAGACTGGGCCTTGGGAGACAGAATGAATGCTCCTGCTCCCTTAACCATGGCTAAGAGGTGGGCACTGCTACATCTGAACTGACCTCGTGGCTCCATTATACATGAAAACAGCTGTAAAGAAACAGGAAGCACTTCAGTAGAACATCAAACTTACATATGATCCACTTCTCCATTGTATCCAGAGACAGGTATTCGCATGGCATCTGTTTGTAAAAACAAGCTGTCATCAGAAAATGACACATTGCAGTCTAGTTAATACATGAGCTCTGGGTACAATACTTTAAACAAGGCTGATGAAATAATAACAGCTCTCTAAGTGAAATCATTTATTTAGGGAAGGGCTGCTTCAGGGGTACAAAAGGGTTTAAAGTACACTTTCAGGGCTTCTCCACGTTTGCTCTAAACCAACTCTTCCTGATCCTTTGTGTGGGCACACTCTGGCACGGTCCATATGCTGGGCACAGTTCTAACTCTAGGAGCTTATGGTACATCTTTTTGGTTCCAGGAACAAATGGACAATCTATGCTATGACCTAGCCGCCTGATGAGGCACACAGATCAAAATGATCTTAAATGATCTGAGATCCACTTGTTACTCACTCTGGCTTTGAGGCAGTGGGAAGAGAGCTGGAGGACAGGTAGAGTAAAACTCATGGGAAGGTTATTCAAACACTAGCAAGAGACTATTACTGGGCCTACTTTGTGGTGAAGCAACTATTCTTCTGCATCTTCTCAGTGTCATTCAGCAGAGCTTTGGAAATCTGGCCCAGGGGCAGATGCAACAGAACCTTTGGTATAATGCTGCAACACATTTGCAAGACACTTTGAGGACAAAGTTGCCCATATCCATTATGACTTATGACTCCACTTCTTGTCCACACATCCCTCAGAGAAGGCACATGGAGAAGGGTCTCTGATGGTGAATGAAGCTCAGGTAGGTTCATATGAGCAGAGGTAACCCCTGAGGTATTGGGGTCCTGAGCTGCATAAGGTTTTAAATATCAAAAACATAACTCTGAATTGAGTTTGGAAAATAATTGGTAACTGGCACAGTTGTGACAGAATTAGTGCTAGACACTCAGATTAGAGTCAGAAATCTGGCTGCCAAATTCCATGCTAGCTGCAGTTTCTAAACCATCTTCATCAGCTGCCCCACATATAACACATGGCAGTAATTAATCTAAAGGTTACTAGAGTGCAAACACTCTTTTGCAAACAGCAAAAGTAAGGGTCATATCTGGGCCACCAGCTGATGCTGATGGAAGGCACTGTGTGCCATTGAGGCCACTTGTGCCCTGAGTAACAGTAGATCCAGAAGTACCCCCAAAATGCACACTTGTTCCTTCGGGGGGAGTCTTGCCTCATTAAACACACACACACACACACACACACACACACAGAGAGAGAGAGAGAGAGAGAGAGAGAGAGAGAGAGAATGAATAACCTCAGCTGGGAATTTTCAAAAGCAAACCTCACAAACTTTAAGTTCCACAGAATTGAATCAAAGTAAAGTATCGTACTGTGTCTGACTGTGCAGGATTAAGCATTGTGCTGGGAGCGCTGATGAGGCTCAAGAGTTGTGCGTTTCTCCATTGGTCAGCTGAGAGGTTTCGTCGAGGATAGACCATCTGGAGTGAGATTAGGGCATCTGAAAGAGCCTAGAACACAGTAAATACAAACATATTGTTTTGAACAATTAGCAGTTAAGTACAATAAATACAATTTAACGATTTTCTAATCTATTCCATTATTACAGTACTCTCAAGCATCTAATGGTCATGTATTTCATGTCTATCCAACGCTGTATGAGAGAAATGCTGGGACTTGATATATTTTTTCCTTGTCTCACATACTTGAACCTTTGCCAAAGGATTTTAAAATTTAAAATATTATTTTAAAGTGCAAATTGTAAGTTCTTAAATAACTAGGTTGATATTAAGAGAATCTGGATACAGTATAATAAGTTAAGTTATCCCTACAGTCAATTTCTAAGCTGAACCAAAAGCCTCCTTTAGCTAAATATATGTAAATGAAGAACCAATTTGATCATTTCTCAAAGACTCGAAGCTTGCTTCAAACTGTCACGGGCACGGAATATTTATTTCCTACTCTGCTTTTTTTGCAAGGATGGGGATAGTCATGGCAGAGTAGGACAGAAAGGAGCAACACTGGGAAGAAGTGAAGATAACAGACCTCAGGATTTTGTGGAGAATGTACAAGGGCTAAAAGTGGGAAGTTTATATGCACGGTCCCCTTTTCAGGTGTTCTAATTTTGAGAGGGTCTGAAGGGGAATTCTAAGTGCATTCACCCAAATGTGCTTAGAATCCCCCTTCAGACCTTCTTTCTAAATATGGGAAGGTTTGAAGTAGTATTGGTGTGCAGGGAAACACTGCAACAGGGATTGTGCATGCACACCCCCAACTTGACCTTTTCAGGCCCACACTTGTGTCTGAAGAGGTGGTTCGGTGTGCTGGTACCTTATTCCCACACTTAAGCCTGCAATCCTATGCTCACTTTCCTGGGAATAAGCCCCAATGGATTCAATGGAACTTTCCTCTTCTAAGTAGACATCTTCAGAATTGCCACTAACCTTACAAACTATCATGGGTTTGGGTTGTAAAAAGGACCTATATGGAAATATCCTGAAGACTTTTCCATTATAGTGCTAAATGAACTATTTAATTCTTTTAAATGCACACAGAAAGAGGGGAAAGCTTGACAATTTTATTAAAAACTGCTTATCCTCAATTTTCTATTTTTTAAAAAAACTTATACACATTCATTTTCAGAAAAAAGGGGGGAGAGACAGACAAATTTTCAGAAAGAGGAAAAAGGCTTATACATACTTTACTATGTGGCACAAATTCCTCCATCATCTTCTTCAAAGGGTTCTCATAATCCACAATCATCTGGCCAAGACGTGGGTATTCCCTATCACTAAAAAAAGCAACAAACGAGATTAAGGAAAATGTATTTTATAACATGCTCCCAATCATCACAAAAAAGACATTCAGTGTGCTATGCATTTTTACCTTGCTCCATGTGTCATCTCATGAGCATAGTTGTACAACCCTATGATGGCCTTCCGCTCTTCAATCCGAGACAGCAGTATCATTAGCGTTGTGTAGGTTATGATTAAATCTAGGTAGTTCTTTGTTAAATCAAAATTTACAGTCTAGAAATGAAATACAAAAAAAGGTTTTGTATTGTAACAGATTACTCATATCATCTTCAAGTTCTAATCCTTCATACATTTCATATGCATTTGAAAAGTCTCAAACAACTTAAAATTAGCACCTATTAGCACCTATTAAATGTAGAGAAGCACCTTAAATATATTAACTTTATTTACTGTAGCACATTCTAAACACTAAAATGTGTAATAGGTTAGCACAACTCAATGGACTCACTCTTAGAGGACTCCAGGCTGAATGGCCTTTTCAAATATTTCCAAGAATTATGTTAGAAAGCAGTGCATACATAGAGGACCAAAACTCCCAGTCAAAACTAATACATTGGAAGTGAGCTACGGCATCATTTGACCATTTTCTACCTTTACTGCAATAAGAGGAATAGGTCAAGACCAATGTTTAAACAGCCACTTCAACTCCCAGTCCATTTCCAGGCACAATTCTTAGTATTTGTATTGATTTATAAAGGCCTAAACTATTTAGGACTCAGGTCATTTTTATCTCAGCTGTGCAGTGTAATCCTATGCATGTTTACTTGGAAGTAATTTCCCAATGTGTTCACATGCGCTCGCTCGCTAGTAAATGTATTAAGAATTGCAGTTCAATTGACTTTTTAAAAACTTTCATGGACTTACAATATCAAAGAAGACTTGGCAAACATCAATAGTGTTCAGCAATTCACAGACATGGTCCTTGAAAACAAAAAGGGAAAGGAAAAATCTGATTGCTTACTGAAATTATTACTGGACTTTTTTTCCTGAATTTGGGGAAAAAACAACAACACACCCTCAGCCAATAACAGCAATACGTTTTTTAAAAAACAATTTTAAAAATATCCATTACTTTAACATAGAAAGCACTTTTAAAAAAGCAATTCATAATAAATTATTTAATCTGCACTCAATGGTTGTGAAATTCTATCAAGGCCTGCAAGAGCAGCTGATCTGTACTTCAGGTGCCTTACCTTAAATTCCATAACATCAACAAACGTGAAGTAATATAAAGCCAGATTCTTCAGAATCTCTGATTTCTCTTTCTGCAGCTGAGCAAGCTGTTGCTACAAATCAAACACACACACACATATAAACTAAACAGTTCTTGGAAACAAATGCATAATTTTAAGAAAGCCAAGGAATCATACTTGCAAGAAGCAGGTACACATTTTTTTGCAGTGATCAAATGTTTAGTGCATTTCTCCAATAGCAAGGTCTTCATGGTTGTGATTTTAATATATGAACAAACTATGGGGCACAATTCCTCCTATCTTGAGCTCAATAAGTCACTCTCCCTCCCATTGATGTAAGCATCTACCATTCTGCTGGCAATTGTCAAGAAAACAGGAAGCCAGTGCACTGCTTCCCCTTCCTGACCTCTGTCCAAGCCAGACTCTGACCTGGAGAGGGAGGGCTAGATGGGCAAGTAGCAAACAAGCTAGCTTTCCATTCCAGGAACTGGCAGCACACTGCTGCACATGCATACCTCCCTATCCACATGGGCCAAGGGGCAGAAGGTAGAAGCAAGGATACACCTTTGGGCTATATGCAATCCTTCCAAGCATGTTACAAAGTGATGGTGCCCACATTCTGCAACTAAACGCTTCTTCTAATAAGCGCCAACTACCAGCTAATTAGTACACATTAGTACCAAAATTATTAACTATAAGTACTAGAGATTAGAGAGTGTTAAAAAGGAATTGGTTATACGAGTAATTAGCCAAAGCAAAACCATTTATAGCACAAATCAGCATGGAAAAAAATAAGGACAGATTTCTTGAGGTGGGAAAAGAGGTGACAGCAGAGTTTACAGATTTTACTACGGAGAAAACAATACGCTTTAAATTCAGAACTTACCAAAAAGAATATCCAGGCAAAGCCACGTTAAGCATGCAAAATAAAATGTAGATACAAACATAAAATACAGTCACGGTTCTTTAAGCAGTCCCATATAACACAATATACATTAAAACACAAGCAACAAAAGAAACAAAGATGAAAAAGAAGCAAGAGGATAGCGTGTTAGACACTGGTGAGGAAATGGAAGAGAGACTATGAATACAAGGATATTCAGTAGTTGTAAAAGTAGATTTTCACACAGTATTTTTCAGCAGTGCTCAAATGTGTTATTCCTGCAGAATACAAACTAATCAGTAGAAAGGGAAAGAATGAAGTTACACAAAAGACTAGCGAAGAATTAGAACCACTTTCAACTTCCTATATTAATTTTTTTAAAAATAATTTCATGCCCTTCAAATGTTTAAAAAACACACATCTATGCCACACAGTTGTGAGCATAAACTAGATAGACAATGTCTTCCACAAAGTTACACAGGGATTTTCACTGATATTTTCATTGATAAATATCACGCTTTAAAATTACATTCTTCCATTTGACATTAATAGAGGGGGAAAACTTTTACCCAAATTCAATTTTCATTATACAGATGAATCACAAAAATGGAAAGCATTCCCTGTTTCATAAAAAAGCTGGTTCTCACAGTCAACAGAACTATGAAATTGAAGGTTGGCATCTCATGACTCCCGGCTACTGTAAAAATGAAAAATCCTGCCCACTCTAGTTTTTTGTGTATCTAGGTCAGTGTGGCCATTCATTTCTACTTTGTCTTTACATAGACATCATATATCAAAGTCAAAAAGCAATAAGAACATTTCCAGTACAAAATAGACTGAAGTCTAATGGAGCATGCAGGCAACATATTTATGTAAATAAAATTTACATATTTTACATAAATTACATATTTTACATATTTTACATGTAAAAGAACGTTCAGCATAGAACGTTTAAAAGAACGTTTAAATAGTATGTAGAGCCAATTAGACTTCAGTGTATTTTGTACTGGAAATGCTGTCATTGTTCATGTCTGGGTCTATGTAAGGAAGAAATGCATGACCAGTTCAACTACTTTGATACCATAGAATAATCAAAATATTAAAAGAGGGTGGCATCAGCAACAGAATCTTGATAAAAGTTTACCTTTTGAGAAAAATGAAAGGTAAATATTGCAGGCCCAAATTCAGGAGGGTCTGTATGGTTCTCCAACTCATAAACACATAAAAAGTCTACTATGATTAAAGGCCTTTCCACAGTCACCTTCTTTCATATGCATCTAGCTAAATAACTCTCCCTTGACATATATATTACTTATATCTCAATCATACACACACATTCTGCAATTGGATAACATCATACGACATCGTACTGGCTGGACATAAATAAGAACGGGGGGGGGGGGTGTCAAGGAAAAGACACTGAAAGACCACACTGAGCATTCTACAGCATAAGACAGTAGCGTAACCACATTAAAATGTACACACTTTTAGACTGGTAATGAAACAAAGAGCGGTTAGGTGTATCAATGTACATTATTCAATCTTATGGCTATATCCTTATGTATTATAGTAGAATATTTATACAGAAAAGTATCAAGAATTAAGGTTGTTTTCTGAAAATATTTATCACTTAGTGAAGAAATATTTATTTCACCAAAGCTTTCAAACCACTCAGCCTTTTACCACAGTTTTAAATGTTTTGTGCTTTTTATGTTTTCTGTATCCAAAAAGCAAGACTGGTAATTAATTCAACTTTAAACAGTATTTACTTATACCTTTCCCGAATTAATCTTACTGATGCTAGTCATTACATGCCTTCAGATAGGGGGCTGATGAAAATATTAGACCCCATCTCAGACTACTTGTAAAGATTTTTTTCCAGGAAATTTTGTCCAATTAGATCTATAAACTACGCCAGCCCACCTGCAACATATGCCAAGATTCAAAGAACCACAAAACCAGTCCCAAGAGAGCTTTAGACTCACACACACCCCTTTTCTTTTTAACCTCTCTGGCCTCCCAAACACTGCATGACACACTGCTTTTGAAAGGGAGGAGGACTTCAATAGTAGTTTGTAGGGGGGGAGGGGGGAATTAGCTGGAAATTCCAGTGCAACAGGAATTTCACTTACCACAACATGTGTGATGACAGGTATGAGTCATCCCACCAATGTTAGAGCTGCAGAGGTGTGTGATCACTTGGGAGTTGAATGATGACCACCTTTTCCCCAACATTAGGAGAAAAACTTGCAACTGGTTGGCTGCTGAGCTGCTACGGAGCCTGGAGCACCCCACCAGCATCTCCCCTCCCACTCTTCCAACTGCAAGTTTGAAACAGGGCTGGGGTCTGTCCCTGGCCTTATACATCAGACAGATAGCATACCAAAAGTGAGTGAGCGTGTGAGCATTATATGTACAGTGGACTCGGCCTACTGTACATATAACCTAGGACTGTATGTGAACAGCACAAGTCACAAGTCCTCAGGAACAAAGGTTAATACAAATTATTGTAATTAGTATAATTAACCCTGTTCTTTTTTTACAGTTCTAATACAATCAAATATCTGACTACTATTCTGTTACCACTGCTGAGAACCAGCTGCTTTTGGTCCACTGTCACCTGGTGGTAGCTATTCTCTCAGGCTACCTGAACTATTTCCATTTTAGCTGGTTCTACAATACAGCTGACTATAACTTTAAAAACTGTTGCCCGAGTTTGTTTTTTCCCTCCTCCTTCCCCATCCCTTTTTCACTGAGTGTTATATCTTTCATATTGTATGCCTGAGGGCAGGGATTCTCTTACTACTAATCTTTGTAAGCCCCTCAGACAGCTTTTCCAGTTAAAGAACAGGGCAAAATTGCTTTAAAGAAGCAAGCCAAGTAAAAAGTGGACAATATTCAATGGGTTGTTTGGTTATTTTCTATCCCTATCTAAAATTCCACTGGGCTTTGTGATTCAACACATCTTTTTGGTCTCAGCACCAAGATGGGGGGCGGGGGTGTTGAGGGTCAGGGCGGATTAGTTATTCTACATGTGGGATTTCAGATAGATTTCTAAAAATTGCCTAAGTAGGCTAGTTGTCCAATATTTCATCAAATAATATTAGTATTGTTCTGCAAGTTACACTGCCAGAAAAAATGCAAATGTTTTAAATTATTCATTCAAGATCTTGTCTACAGGATTTCAACCTAATATTAAAATAAAGCTTGGATCTTTAGTGTTACAGCAAGTATTCCAGAATGGCTCATTTGCATGCTTAGCCTGAGGGCTTCTCCTTAAATACAGATATAAACCCTATTAAAGTACCATCTCAGCTTGCTCCTAGTTAAATAGCAACTGATTGTTTAAAATTATTTAACACAATCCTGCAAGAGAGAGTTCAAAAAGGGGAAGATTTCAGCGGTTTTGCTTTTAAGAGAGCTGGAGTACAGAAAGTATCAGGAACCCAAAACAGCTCAATAAAAGAAACTGAGAAAATCAGAACGGGGGGGGGGGAGTGTACCTCAACTCTTTACATCACCACAGGTTTTAGCCTTTCAATTGTCTTCTTATAGATAAGACAGATGGCATACCAGAAATATGCACACACCCCAATGTAAATATTACAATGGCACACTTACTACAGTTTGATTTCAGGATATCCTAGAGCAGAGCTTTTCAACCCCTTTCAGTCCATGGCTCCCTTGTTTCAAGCAGCTGTCACCACTGGCCCCAGTCTCTGCACCACTCGCCCCAGAGAAAGCTGTCTCCTCAGGGGCCTGGGAAGAGGATGCCTTGGCGGCCCGACGGAGACTGGCCAAAGGTGAACATGAGGCCAGAACTCTACCTTGGGAGGCAGCAGTGGGTGCTGCCAGGCCTGCATGGCAGTAAAGCTCCCCTTCAGCACCGGGCACTTAGCTTCCAGGCAGGCCTTGCACACAGCAAGCACAAGAAAGGCCAACACAGCACCTGCCTGCCAAGCCTCCCTCTTGTCTGTTCATTCCCAACAGCAAGGTCTGGTGGACTGGCTGGCTGGGCTCCCTCGCCTGCTTACTTGCTTACTCTGAGGCTGGCTGAGCTCATGATAACCAGTATCCCCTGGCCAACCCCAGAGACAGCATTCACCTGGAGAGCTTGTAGCAAGGGCTGCTGCAACAAACAGTTGTGCAAGCCTTTGGGAGGCAGAGACATGAGAGGGCATCAGAGGGAGGGAGGGAAGGAAGGAGGGATGTAGACCAGTGTTGCCTGTGGCACTCCTTACCATCATTCAGGGAACCCCAGGGTGCCACAGCACACTGGTTGAAAACCAGTCCTAGAGCATAAGAACTCTGGATGAACTGCTTATTCCCATACTACTAAGAGTCCTTAGATACCTGTCCTTTTACATTTCTTTCCTTTACCCCACTCTCCAAATTATTCTTATCTCATTAAGCAATGTTCTAATTGCTGTAACCCACCCTGGGAACTTGGGGTGAAGTGTGGGTAATAAATAATAACAATAACTACTGCAAATTCCTTTTTGCAGTTTGTACCATAACTCAAAAAACAGTTTCACAGTCCAAAACTTATTTCTCATTTTCCTTTAGAAAGTTGCAACTTTCTATTATTTCTATCCAAAGAAAAAACTTTAATTCACCTACAATCAAGCTACATTAAGGTGCGCATTAGATTTGATGGCACATTTACATTCGCCAGCAAATACTTTTTTTGGTTTTAATTGTACTCTAGATCCTGATATTCAATTATGGGAGTTCTATACCTCACGGGAGAAAGTCAGTATTTTAAGAACTACAGGAAGATCCTGACACACACAAAAGGGGAACTGACAGCATCTACCAACACGTTTCCCCACAAGTTTCCAAAGACACTTTCACTCAATTTCTCACACTTCAAAACAAAGTTTTGAATACTTAGGAGGCGTTAAATCAGGCATCCCCAACCTTCGGCCCTCCAGATGTTTTGGACTACAATTCCCATCATCCCTGACCACTGGTCCTGTTAGCTAGGGATAATGGGAGTTGTAGGCCAAAACATGTGGAGGGCTGCAGGTTGGGGATGCCGGCGTTAACTCAAGCTCTTCCACCTTTGAAAATGATGCATTTCTTGTTAATTCTTGTTAATCTTGTGAACTTCATAACATTCATGTCTGATACACAATATCAAACAGGTAAAACTTGTCTAACATAGTCCTAAAATAAGTGTTATTAGCTCTGTTCTAAATGATACAACCACTTTCTTTAAATTTACCCTAGTTGAATACTTTCTTTAGATATCCAGTTTTCATTTTTTTGTTAGAAGTAAATATTTTTAATGCAAATTGGAAACTAAGTTAACAATGCCCATCTGCTAAAAAAAACAACCACCAAAGATCCATGTCTGGAACAGAAAATTGCTACTCAAATCAGTAGAACTTCAACTGTCAAATATATATTTATACTGAGAGGTATCCAACAAAGTAGTTCCGTTTGCGCAAGGATTTCTGTTTGCGCAACGGAATTTTCCCTCCCTCTCCTCTTTCTGCAGTACCTCCCACACCTGCTCAAGTCTGCTCTGGAGGGTTGAGGTAAACCCCAGAAAGATTGGGCAGGGGCAGAAGGTGGAAAGGGAGGGAGGGAAAATTATGTTGTGCAGACAGAAGTCCTTGTGCCAACAGAATTACTTCATTGGATCCCACCCACTGCATCCTTCTGATCCAAAGAACTCTGAACAAAAAGAGGAAAAGTATTATTGCTATTCTGTGAACTCTTGTGCAAGACTTCTCATAGAACAGTATCACAGTTGCATTGCATTACTGTATGAGAAACAAGGTGAATGAGGAAGATACAGGCTCCAGTGGGTTATAAAAAAAGTATTGAAGTGCCATTATGTTTGAAGATATGATGTCACATATGAAATTATAGGTTGGCAAAATATCTCTGCTTAGTAACTGGCACTGTTTGACATTTGGCAATCAGTATCACTGAAATAAAAAGTACTAGATGTATTTTAACGTTATCTAATAAATGACCATAAGAGAGGGAAGATCACTTAAAATTACCAGTGCTTAGTAACTGTATTGGAAAATTGAATTCTCAAGCACTCATGCAAACTGCTGCATGCAGAGAACATGCAAACCCATTACCTGCCTCCCCTTTCCACCTCTGAGAAGAAAACAAACATGTAAAAATATCTTCCTCTCAATTCTCATTATAAAGAAATCACAGTTAGTTTATGAAGAGTTTACTGCATTACAACCAGAATTCAATTAATGTTGTAAACAGTCTTAAATTTCTTTGATCCCATTTTAATTCAAGACATGAAAGTCAATATAAAAGGAACAACACGGCAACAGCAAAACCAAATTATCTGGGGACAAGCAAGGAAACTGAACAAGGCAGGGATGAGAAACCTGTAGACCGCCAAAAAGTTGTTGGATTCCAACTCCTATCAGCCCCAACCAGCATGGCCAGTAGTAAAAAATGATGCAAGCTGGAGTACAGCAACTTATGGAAGGTCACAGGTTATGGATTGTTTTAAGTCAAGTAATGCCCTTGTGTTCCAACTTTCCTGAGACATGCAGAGTCATCTAGTTCTAAGACTGACTCCACAAGAACTGGAACTGTTTCAGTTTGGAGGATTACCTAAACTGGAAACCTCCTGGTCAACTGTTTTCCAGTAGTAAGCCATTTCCATCTTCTGTGAAGATACACAGCACTTTACATTCTTAAGAAAAACCTCAGAGCTTTATTCCACGATGGGTTTGTTAATATACTGAGCTGTATACACATAGACTTTCAATGCACTGTCTGTAGAATAAACTAACTGACAGCACTCACTCCAAGGAATGTAGCATGCAACTGAAAGCCTTATATGAATTTCTGCCATCAATTCATCATCTTACAAATACTCATACTGCAATTCTGATTACAGAAAAACTGCCCTGCACTGTCTAGGATTAGTATATTCCAAATTTCACAAGGCTTCTGTTCCTTTATAAAAACTGTAAATCTTAAAACTCAATCCAGGACACTTTCCCCATAATTCAGTCAACAGAAAAAGCTGCAGCTGTGGAACATCTGCCTTTTATACAGTACTGGTTCTTTTGGCATATTATCAACACACCACTGAGATTTAACCAGTGTCAATATCATTCGGTGCTTCCCTCATCCCACCCAATGGGCAATGCCATTGGAAGAACTGCCAGGTAATAATTATCAAGCAAATCCAAATATTTACAATGTTGTATCATTACTTACATTGTTGTTGCGTGTTTCGACAGCTGGAAATTTTCTGACAATGAATTTGACGGCCGATTCAAGATTTTTGTCAATAAGATATGATGGTTTTGCTTTTGGGTCTCCACATGCCTATGGAAGAAAATGAGAAGAAGAAAAAACTAAACATATATTCTTTTCACTAAATACTATATACTTTTAGCTGATCTTCAGTTAGAAACTAGATAGACTTCTTTAGCTTTTAGTGAGCAGGTGAAAAAAATGAGTGGGGATTCTCACAGCTGGACTATGTAATGTGACACAGTACAGAGATGCTCTTCTACTGGAAAAAATGCATGGAAATTCAAAGCAGTTAGTGCAGAACAGCAGTGAAGGGGAAGTTCAGTCTTAAAAGAAGAAATGGAAACTTTGGCTAGAAGTAAAGTATGAGGTAGGTTCACCATGTATTTAGTGATGCTAATCAACTGGTAGAAAACTCTAGCTGTCACCACCTATACAAGGCAGTGCTGAGCTTATTGCATTATTAGTATAATTTATCTGAAATAAAGAACCAAGCAATATGTAGTTAACAATAGTTCACCTGCGATTTCTCTCTAATACGCTAAACAACTTGGAGTAGTTCAAATGGAGTAGAACTATTTTAACAAGCTTATCATTAGGCACAGCTTCTGAACCTAGAGCCACATTCACTATATTTAGGCCTACAAACATGCCACAGCCCCACAAAGAGTTACTTCCATCACAAAAAGTAAGTATTTATGTGGATTTGGTATTGTCATTCCCCACTGAAGTCTACTGTTAGTGAGGTGTGTGGCAAGAAAAAGGTTGACTATTAATGGCACAAACAGCAGGCAAGTTTCATTGCCACATGTTGTTTTCTTATCAGCTTGCTTCCTAGGGCATGAATTTAATTTGTATAGAGTGGCTGCATACATTTGCTGAAGGACTGTAATTGGACTGCTGGTAGACTGTAACTAATGTGCATGTATAAAACAGATTGCACCCCAGACTGAATGGTGACTCCATCTGTACATTAATTTGGACATTTTAAATTTTATCTACTCTTTCAGTGATCTCAAAAAAGACATTACTCTCTAAATCACCTGTCACACAATTCTGTTCCTACACAGCTGGCTAGCTGTTTACATAATAAATTTGTGATCCCTTTTAACAGTAGAACTCTTTTTTAAAAAAGTGCTACATTCTAATGTAGAACTCTTAAAAAGTGCTACATTCTAACATATAGTTAAGACAAGCTGGGACAGAAAATGGTGAACAGTTGAACTGTGTAATTAACACACCACTGTTACATACACAGGAAGAACGCTGTGCAGCAATCCCGTTTCTGTTCCAAAATCCCTTCCTAGATACAAAATTCTAATTTAATAGAGAATTTGTGGCTCATGCAAATTATAACATGCTATGCATTTTTACACAACATAGTGAAATGCCAAGATGGCCACTTATTAACTTTTCTACAGTTGTGTTGTGAATTATTGAGACAGAAGTCATGAAGTATGAGACTGATCTGAAAGCGGGCAGAGGGAAGGTGAAAAAGCTTTGCAAACCTTCCATACTTGTCCTTGCTGGGGAAGCATTGCAATGAAAAGAGAGAAGATTACACATAAACAAAAAATTTCTTGGATTCCCACAAGCATCATGTCCAGAAAAGCAAACTACCATATTTACTCAAATCAAATGCTCACCTTTTTTGGCCAAATTATGTTGCAAAAATTAAGATGTGCATTAGATTCAATGGCACATTTACATTCGCCAGAAAATACTTTTTTTTTTTGGTTACAAGGTTCTGAAAATTGAGGGATGCATTAGATTCAATGGCGTATTAGACTCTAGTAAATACGGTACTTCTATTCAACAAAGTTAAAGTCAAGTGCTGGCATAATTAAATATTTCTACTTACAGGCAGCATTCTAAAAGGCACTATTTCTATTACATATTTGGTGTTCAAAATGTGTGTACAACAATTTCCAGTGCACAAAATGTTGTATCACATCAGCTTCCAATATATTTGTTCTGAGCAAGAGGGATAGGTTGGAAAGAAACAAAGTTTAGAGCAAACAGCACATGCAATTTTTAGGAGAGCAACTATCAGTGAAATATTACATACCTGAAATAGAAACGGTAGCCAAGAATGAAAAAACAAACAGTCATTATAGTGGAATCCTAATGCTACCTTTATACAAAATACTGTACAGCTATGATCTTCAAAAATATGTCTGACCTTTACATAGGATGGTTTTCAAATGAGTTAGTTAACATGCCTGTTTCCTATACAGTACAGAAAAAACACACTGGCTACCATTCTTAAACCAACTTAAAAGTAATATATTTACATATTTTTTAAAAACCTGAAATTACAACAATGTCATGTGCACTGGTATGCCATACAGAGAACCATAAAATAAAATCTAAAACTATGATTTTATATGTAGTTTAATATTTCAGTTTGGCTAATGTTTAGTCTATAGCAGGCATAGGCAAACTTTGCCCTCCAGATGTTTTGAGACTACAATTCCCATCGTCCCTGACCACTGGTCCTGTTAGCTAGGGATGATGGGAGTTGTAGTCCCAAAACATCTGGAGGGCAGAGTTTGCCTATGCCTGGTCTACAGTGTCCCTCAAAAGTGAGATGGAGCACCATTTGCTTGGCTTCTCTAATTTCTAATATTGGTCATGCTGGCTAAGACTGATGGGAGTTCAAATCCAACAACATGTAGAGCGCCACCCCTGAACTAATGGCTTCAATTGTCAGATATTCAAGTAGCTGCCTGTGATGAATTAGAATTGCAGCCAAGTAGGAGGTAGATTGAAGTGTTTGGGTACAACAGCAGCAAGGCCATATTATAGCACACACTAGTTTTGTTGTAATTGCAGAAGAATTCTTTAGTCAGCAACTTCCCAATACCAACAATTCCAACTGTCATAAAAAGAGGTCAGTCACTCGACAGATCTCAACAGTAACCAGAGAAGCTTTTGTAACTCAGGCACACTGGTAAAAAAAAAAGTGTATGAGGGGGCTAGTAATTGCAGGGGGGGCTGCAGCATGAAAACTTTGAAAGAGGAGTATACTAAGGTTACCAGATTTTTTTTTCAATGAATCCGGGGACACTTTTCAACTTCAGTTGAATTCAGTGGATTTGTCAAGGGACTGATTTGTAAATCCAGGGACTGTCCCCGGGAAATAGGGACGTCTGGTAACCTTAGAGTATACAATGATTCATTACAATTCTTAGTTTATATAAAAGAGCAACATTTGCTCTTAAACTAGTTGCCTTTGAACTATGTCCACAATCCAGATAAGCAAACACCTGACTTTACATCTCCATTGGTATTTTCAACTTGCTACAAAGCCCACACATCATGTAGCCAACAACTAATTAAATTCAGGGGAATTTCAAAATAAATTTGAGGTTAGTAACATGGATACTGCAGCTGTTTTCTTAAAAATCAAAAACCAGAAGACTAACACATTCATTCCTCTAGCTACACCTAAAGCAGCTCCTGGTAGGCTGAGGTTGATGACAAAGGCTACTATATTTTTTTAAAGGCCCAAGTTTGAGAAGATGATTACAATTGCCACAGTATATCAAATGAAGAACAACAAGAGCTGTGCCTTAGAAACAATTTATTCCCATGAGAAAATAGGCATGGAGAAAGACACATTACTTTGAAAAATAATTTGCGCATTATGCTATGAAGAAAAAATGCATTCACTAGTAAACAATGAATGTCTGGGTATTCCAAGTAAACATATTTCCTTCTTCTATACTAACAATTAGCTCTTCCATTAGTCAGCGATGTGGATTTTCCTGAAAAGTTTCTTATACAAATAAGTGTAATCTGCACTGCAAAAATTTTCAGTTTGCATCAGAAAACTTTCTAACTCCCTAATTTAACATTCATTCTACTTGTCTTTTTTAAGAACTGCCATGCTTGTTTAATATTTGCAATTGGTACCTATTCTTTGCTACTAATGAAATTATGAAATGGAAAATTCTCCAAAGGAAAAAAAGCACTGAGAAAAAAATCACCCCAAATCATTGCTTAGAGCAGTGGTGAAGAACCCTTTTCAGCAGGCTGAAAAAAGCCAGTTTCTCATTTTGTGTGAACCAGATGCAAACCTAACACCTTGCTATGACTGGGGAATGCTGCATATTTCCCCACGCCCTGGTTGAGCTAGCTTTAAAACACCAAAATAACTCAGCTGGGTGTATTCGAGGCAATGCTCTGCTGGTGTAAGTTGTGCCAGTGTGGCGAGGGGGGGAAAGACATTGTCAAGAGTGGGAATGTTTGTATCAGAGGGAGGGAGAAATTTAAAACAAAGTCATACTACATGTTATTAACTCCCTTCATTCACTGGTCCTGCCCGCAGAGCTTGGTTAAACTTACACCTGCATTTTTGGTGGTGCAACTGAATTTACCCTCTAGGAGCCAATGGACAGGCAGAAAATGAGGGTTTACACAGAGGTAGGTAGGCAAACTAAGGCCTGGGGGCCGGATCCGGCCCAATCGCCTTCTCAATCCGGCCCGCGGACGTTCCGGGAATCAACCTGTTTTTACATGAGTAGAATGTGTCCTTTTATTTAAAAAGCATCTCTGGGTTATTTGTGGGGCATAGGAATTCGTTCATTATTTTTTTCAAAATATAGTCTCCCCCCCCCCCCCAAGATCTGAGGGACAGTGGACCAGCTCCCTCCTGAAAAAGTTTGCTGACCTCTGGTTTACACTGCTCTTCCCCAAAAAAGAATTCCTGCCATTCTGGTAAAAAAGTTAGAATGCAGCTTAACTATGCTATCTTATCTGTTCTATGACATAGCTGCCTGTTAGGATTGCTCTGTTCATATCTGTTAATAAACCAGTACGTGACCCTGTTTCATTCACCTAGCTTGTTAACTGACATTAGCCAAGAGTTCTGTTTCGGAAGAAATAATGAACTTGGCTGGTGTGCAACAGTGGGAAAGGAGAAGCAAGGGAGAAGTGCACAGCCACAGCTTGAATAACCATGGTTTATAAGGCCCTGGATGATAATCCAGAGACAGCCATAGCATCTCCCTCTTTTCAAATAAGGTTGATTTACAAGCTATCACAAGTCAGTGCATTAGAGGGTTTTCATGAGTATTCTTGCTGCTGCTGCTTTTTAAGTCAACAGTGTTAACATAAAATAGGTGGTTTTATTTCATCAACACTGTACTTTATATTACCCTGAAAATACAGATAAATTAACTCTTCTTGGCTAAAGAGATTACATTAAACAAAAAGACTGTGAGCCTGAGCTATTGCAGCTAGCACATTCCCAAACCCTACTGCTCTAGTTAGAATAAAATTAACAACTTGAGGCAGGAATTGAATGGGCTGGGTGGGGAAGAGTTTCATTTTAAGTCAGGAGAGGTAATAATATACACATATAAATTAGGTGTGAATTAAAAAACAACAATCCAGACAGTTTTTTAAATTATACAATAGGGAGCAGAAAAACTGAAAATCAACGGGGTTTCAAAACAACTTTGGCCAGAACAGGCCAACTCTCAGCAGCAATTACTTCCTCTTTTCTAAATGAAGAAAAAATCTTAACCGATTTATCTAACCGCAATACCACATATTGCGTAGTAAACCTTTCTTGTTAAAAAACCCCTACAAAACAAAAATACTCAGTGGTAGTGGAGATACGTCCTTTCCTCCTGCAGTAAACTAGCTGTGTGGCAAGCAGAAAGGATACTTAGAAAAGTTCTCTCCTTGCTTTTAGAGGGCTTTTGCATGGTAGTGGAAGACTCTAGTGCAAGCTTGTTTGAGATCTGGATCTCACTACTCCAGAATGTAATATTAATGGACAAACTGAGTGACAACCCATGCCCAAGAGAGTTGAACAGACAATAAAATCACTACTTTACCATCAACCTGGCATAGTTATATTACGTATGCAACATGGTTATAGGCCTCCAAGAACACATGGAGATTTATGGGATGACACCTTTGCTTAAAAACTGAAATGACTTTTAAGTTAAATATAATTAAATAGACATTCAGTGCTTGGGGGGTGGGTTGTAAACTAAACAATCAGCTGTGTAAGCATCACTGTATATCTATATCTATATAGCAAATAAAGAAAACTAAAAAAGGGCTTTGCAACACCATGAGAAATAACTAGACTATGCTATTCAGAATCCCATGAATGCCATTCTTTTTGCTCCATCTACTACTAGACTACATTAGCAAGACACCTGAAAAGCCACTGCTTTAAACACTGACCCTTCATTACCACAGCAATTTCATAAAAATTCATATACAAAAATGCAATCCGCATTAACTACAAAATGAATTTCTGATCTGCTATAAAAATAACTGTTTCAAGCCCAGCTGTTTATGATGGGCCTTATTTTCTACTCAAGACTTTGTGACAGTGGGGTAAGATGAGGGACCTGCAATTCTTGTGAATGTAATAATTAAGTTATTAACTAACTATAGCTGGAAGTTGAAAAGGAGAGACATTCAAAGTCATGCTATGCTAGCAGGGTTGAAACCTTTAAGTCATGTATCCTTTTTCATTTTTCAAAAAAGGAAAATATTCAGGCTTTGAGTCTACACTACAGGAAGAAAGATAAGATAGTACAAAATTTCAACAACACACACATGATTTAGAACAAAAACATATGAGCTCTGAGTACAAGCTGCTTTGATATTAGGCTTTTTTATTAAAAAAAAGTTCACTCCCTCTGATACTCCCTTACAAATAAGCTTACAAGAGTTACTAAATCCAATCCAATAAATCTCTACTCAGAAGTAAGCACCACTGTGCTTAATGGGACTTTGATATGGAGTATACTGAAGGCAAAAGTGAGAGAATTTTTGGTAGTGCTTACATGCTTAGTCTCCTGCATTTTCACTTGCCAGATGACCTGTCATGTTGCTATTATTTACAAGCCTACAGAGCAACATTTCCATGCTAACCAAGTATCATTAGCAGAAACTTTTTCATTAAGGCACCTTTAACTTTTGTTAAAAGCACACTAAACGCCGTATAACTTTTTAAAAATCCGGAATGCACTGACTTCAGTCTTGTACATCCTGTCTTCTTTTTAAAAACTAGAGTCCCTCTGATCAATTAATCCAATAGCCATTACAATAGTCATCTTCAAATACCTAAAGGCTGTCACTTTGAAGATGGAGCAAGTTTTTTTCCTCCTTCTCCAGAGGGTAGGACCCAAACCAAAAGCTTCAAATTACAAGAAAGTACATTCTGACTAAACATCAAGAACAACTTTCTGTTGGTAAGAGCTGTTTGCTGATTGGAATGGACTCTTTTGGAAGGTGGTGGAGTCCCCTTCCTTGAAGGTTTTTAAGCAGAGTAGGATGACCATCTGTCACGGATGCTTTAGCTGAAATTTCTGCATTGCAGGGGGTTGGACTAGATGGCCCTCAGGGATCCCTTCCAACTTTGCGAATATGTTTCTAGGATTCTATAACCTGTGTTAAGTAATCCTACGTACTTCAGAATATATGTAACTTGCAGAATATAAAGTTCACCTGGTCCCAATCGCTTGCAAAAATTCCAGCAGTCAATAGGCAGTATGTAATATGGAAAAAGTTTTTTGCTGTCCATGAAAAAAGAACACCATCTCTGTCTACCCCTCTTTCTGTAGAGTTGAAGTCTTTAAATCAATCAGAGTATGCTTTATGCAGCTTGAAAATTTAAAGACCCTGGCAATACATAATATATAAAAATAACACTATGCAGTGTCAAGAAAATTGACAGTGAATTCTCAATTTTTTAAAAAAATCAAACCTTGTAGTGACACTAGGAACATTCATATTAAACTCACTAGGACTTAATTTTCAATAATATGCCTAACTTTGACCTGCTTAATATATCAGGGGTGGAATTTTTAACCTCAGTTAAGAAAAATGAGTATTTTAGAAATACTTTATAATTTTCATAGTACTGTACAGGTGCAGCAGATGAAATCATGACCAGAAAAACAACCAATTGTTATTTTTCAACATTCTGTCTTAATATTTTGCAACTGACAACTCTCACAACACTGCACGATTGTTAAAGCACTCTGTGAGGGGCAGGGGGGAGAACAGTGCATTGATTTTGTGCAGGACATCAATACTGTGGGTTGCTTACAGAGTGTGCCAAAACTACCAGAAGCATAGCCTGTCAGCAATATCTTAACTTTCCAAAATGTACCTTTTCTTTTTGGCTCATCCAACCAACCAAGCAAGCACCTGCTATTTAAACCTTCCGCACGAAGGTTCACTGGAACCACCTGAATGTTCCAAATCCAGTTTCGCTTCCAATGAGAAAGGGTCCAAATCGTATTCCCCCCACCCTACCCGCTTTGTCATTATTTGGACCGCCAGCATAAGAAGAGGTTAATCCTGCCCCCCCCTGCCGTTGCATGACTCACACACACAGTGCAGGCTCCATCTACTACCTTCCCTCGATTTGTGCGCCCAAGTCATTTTAAATCACATACAGTACTCGACAGGGAATTGTGGCGGCGACCCTCCTCTGAACCCATTTTCTGAAAAGGCGCGGGAGGGGGGGGAGAGAGAGGTTGGTACTGAAAAAATTGACCTGGCCGAGATTTTTTTTGGGGGGGGGGAAGAGGGCAGAGGAGGAGGTCCTTCCCCCCAAAAAACCACCTCCCCCTTCCCGATACATCTTCCTTTTCCATGGGGTATTTGGGAGGAGAGAGAGGAAGACCAGATGGATCAAACCAGATGGTGCATCCGGCGGCCCGATCCCACATTTCCCACCCCTCCTTCCTCCCCACAGGGCCTTGGCGCAAAGGAAAGCGCCTCCGCCCCGGAGCCGAACAAGTCCCCACACCCAGAAGGCCCCGCTGACTAAGATGCCACTACTACGGCGGCGGCGGCGGCCTCCTTTTTCCCTTCCCCTCGCTCTCGGGGAAAGGCGCGCGAGAGCCAGTTTAGGCCTCCCCTCAGCCGCCCCGCATCCCCCGGCCATTTCCTCCCCAGCCCCGCAGCCGGGCCCGCGCACCTTCTTGATGTTGTAGAGGCGGGTGAGCATGCCGACGCCGCGGTCGTTGAGGATGGTCAGCTTCTCGGCCAGCTTCTGCTGGCTGGGCTGCAGCACCGAGCGCGACATCCTGGCGCGAGGGCGGCTAGGCTCTTTTTGCGCGAGCGGACGTTGGGCCGCGTCGCTCGCGCTGAAGGCGGCGGCGGCGGCTGAGGGGAAGACGGCTGCTCCTCGCTTGCGCACTCGCCTCCGCCAAGCCGACGCGCCTCCCCCGCCCGCCCGGCCCCCTCAGCCGCGCTCACAGCGCCGCCGCAGCAGCCGCGGCCCGGCTTGGCCAGCCGTCGCCGCCGCCGCCACCCTCGTCGTCGCCCTCCTCTCAGCCACCGCCAATCTCGGGCTTCGCTAGGCGTGGCGGCGGCAGCGGCGGAGGCGCTCTCTCTCTCTCTCTCGCCCCCCTCCCTCTCCTCCTCCACCCGGCCGCTGCCCACAGAGAGGCTGGGCTCCGGCGCCCCACGTGACCAGGCGCCTCTCTGCTGCCCCTCCAAGGTGAGGCGCTCTCGCTGTCACGTGGGAAACGGGGAAGTGGCGGGGGCTGTGGGAGGCAGCCGGGGCAGGTTTTGAGGGACACCTGCTCTGCCGGCAGGCGCGCAGCAGGGGAAGCTCGCTCTCGTGTTCCTTTCGGGGGGGGGGTGGAATCTGGTATGTTGCACGCCCTCCCAACATTTCTCTGGTGAAAATAGGGATGTCCTATTCCATCATCATCATCATCGTTCTTGTTATGGGTTTTTTTTTATACCCCGCCTATCTGACCAGGTTGGTCTTCTAGACTCTAGACCAGGGGTCAGCAAACTTTTTCAGCAGGGGGCCGGTCCCAATGTCCCTCAGACCTTGTGGGGGGGGCTAACTATTTTTTTTGGGGGGTGAACAAATTCCTATGCCCCACAAATAACCCAGAGATGCATTTTAAATAAAAGGAGACATGAAGACACGCTGATTCCCGAACCAGTCCAGTATTCCCGGACATACACAGTATATTTGATTTAATGACATATTGGGTTTTTTATATATATGTGTGTATATATATATATATATATGCAGGTTTTGGTGTCCTCGGGTGTCTTCCCGTGTAAAAGTTGGGGTGTCTAGGCGACGTTTCGACGAGGTCTCACTCGTCATCTTCAGGCTGGTGCTTTCGGCTTCTTGTTACTGGAACAGAGCAGGATCTCAGTGTTTGAGTTCCTATAAATACTGTTGAGGGGGTGTGGTGTATAGCCTCCAATGTTCTGGGCAGAGAGGAAGTTCCCAGGCTAGTGTGCCTTTTCTTCTTTTGTTCCTTAATTACTTGAGGGATATCTTGAGTGATTTCTTGAGTGATATCCTGAGTACCACTTAGGTGGGTCATTAGGTGTGGATTAGTTGCTAAAGCCTTCGTGTCTTGACCTCTTGAACTTTGTGAAGAGTTTTTCTGAGAAGATGGCTGTATTGCATTTAGTTGTGCTCTGGCTTGGCTTCGTGTATAGGGGCGAGCTGTGGTTTTGTGTCCTGTGCCAGCCAGATCTGTGTAGGGATTGCAGGGGGGTGCAGCATCCGGAGGTGCCACCATGGTTTGGCTACTGGATGGTGTCTGTAATTTATCTGTGGAGAGGGTCTGGGTTTGGGTCTGGTGTGGTTGATTGGTGATGGCGTTCTGTGTGCCTCTGGATCTGGTGTCGGTTTTTGTGGGGAGGGCTAATTTCCAGATGTCTGGCAGGCGGGATGTCTGGCAGGCGGGATCACGACACATCCCGCCTGCCAGACATCTGGAAATTAGCCCTCCCCACAAAAACCGACACCAGATCCAGAGGCACACAGAACGCCATCACCAATCAACCACACCAGACCCAAACCCAGACCCTCTCCACAGATAAATTACAGACACCATCCAGTAGCCAAACCATGGTGGCACCTCCGGATGCTGCACCCCCCCTGCAATCCCTACACAGATCTGGCTGGCACAGGACACAAAACCACAGCTCGCCCCTATACACGAAGCCAAGCCAGAGCACAACTAAATGCAATACAGCCATCTTCTCAGAAAAACTCTTCACAAAGTTCAAGAGGTCAAGACACGAAGGCTTTAGCAACTAATCCACACCTAATGACCCACCTAAGTGGTACTCAGGATATCACTCAAGAAATCACTCAAGATATCCCTCAAGTAATTAAGGAACAAAAGAAGAAAAGGCACACTAGCCTGGGAACTTCCTCTCTGCCCAGAACATTGGAGGCTATACACCACACCCCCTCAACAGTATTTATAGGAACTCAAACACTGAGATCCTGCTCTGTTCCAGTAACAAGAAGCCGAAAGCACCAGCCTGAAGATGACGAGTGAGACCTCGTCGAAACGTCGCCTAGACACCCCAACTTTTACACGGGAAGACACCCGAGGACACCAAAACCTGCATTCCTGTACCCGTGAAAATCTACGAAAGCAAATATATATATATATATATATACATACACATGAAGGTAAAGGTACCCCTGCCCGTACGGGCCAGTCGTGTCCGACTCTAGGGTTGTGCGCCCATCTCACTTAAGAGGCCGGGGGCCAGCGTGACGAAGCTGCTCTGGCGAGCCAGCACCAGCGCAGCAAACGGAAACGCCATTTACCTTCCTGCTATAAAGCGGTACCTATTTATCTACTTGCACTTAAGAGTGCTTTCGAACTGCTAGGTGGGCAGCAGCTGGGACCGAAAGACGGGAGCTCACCCCGCCGCGGGGATTCGAACCACCGACCATGCGATCGGCAAGCCCTAGGCACTGAGGTTTTACCCACAGCGCCACCCGCGTCCCATATATATATATATATAATTTAAAATATTTAAAAACCCAATACAACATCATTAAATCAAATATACTGTATAGAAACAAAAAATAGTTAAAAAATGGTAAAAACAAAAAATAGTAAAAATTATATATATATATATATATATATATATATATATATATATATTTGCTTTCGTAGATTTTCACGGGTACAGGAATGCAGGTTTTGGTGTCCTCGGGTGTCTTCCCGTGTAAAAGTTGGGGTGTCTAGGCGACGTTTCGACGAGGTCTCACTCGTCATCTAGTTGGGGTGTCTAGGCGACGTTTCGACGAGGTCTCACTCGTCATCTCTGTTCCAGTAACAAGAAGCCGAAAGCACCAGCCTGAAGATGACGAGTGAGACCTCGTCGAAACGTCGCCTAGACACCCCAACTTTTACACGGGAAGACACCCGAGGACACCAAAACCTGCATATATATATATATATATATATATATATATATATATATAATGTGTGTGTGTATGTGTGTGTGTATATATACACACACACACACACACACACACACACACACGTAAAAACCCAATACAGTGTCACTAAATCACGAATGTTTTAATGTGTTTTTATGTATGTTAGAAGCCGCCCAGAGTGGCTGATATATAAAACAAATATATAAAAACCAAAAAAATAGTGAAAACAAAAAATAGTAAAAAATAAATAAATGGTAAAAACAAAAAAATAGTGTACGCACACACAGTAAAAACCCAATACAACATCATTAAATCATGAATGTTTAATGCTTTATTATGTTTTTATATATGTCAGAAGCCACCCAGAGTGGCTGGTATAAACAGTAAAAACTTCCCTATAAAGGGCTGCGTTCCGATGGTTCAGGGATCCAATAGGAACTCCCTACCCTCCAACATTTCTCCGATGAAAATAGGGACGTCCTAAGGAAACGGGGGGCATTCTGGGATCAAATCAGAAACTGGGACAGCTTCTGTAAATCTGGAACTGTGCCTGGAAAATAGGGACGCTTAGAGCAGTGTTTCCCAACCGGTGTTCCGCGGCACACCAGTGTGCCGTGAGACCTTGCCTGGTGTGCCGTGGGAGGGAGGCGGGAGAGGCTCCGAAGCGGGGCGGGGGGCGGGAACCTGCAGCGCGGGGCGCCCTTTGGAGGACGCCCCGTGCTTCGCGCAGCTGTCCGCAAGCCTTGGGCGCCTGGGGGAACTCCCCCCCCGGCGCGCAAGGCTTGCGGGCGGCAGCCTGCAGCGCGGGGCGTCCTTCGGAGGACGCCCCGTTCTTCGCGCAGCTGTCCGCAAGCCTTGCGCGCCCAGGGGAACTCCCCCCCCCCGCGTGCACGGCTTGCGGGCGGCAGCCAGCAGCGCGGAGCACGGGGCGCCCTCCGTAGGAGGCTGCGGAGGGTGGCGCGGAGCTGCCCGCGCTCCAGGGCTTCTTGCAGCTCCGCGCCACCCCCGGATCCCGGCGGGAAGCCGCGTGGGGCTGCCTGCGCTCCAGGGCTTCTTGCAGCTCCGCGCCACCCCCCGGATCCCGGCGGGAAGCCGCGTGGGGCTGCCTGCGCTCCAGGGCTTCTTGCAGCTCCGCGCCACCCCCCGGATCCCGGTGCGAAGCCGCGCGGGGCTACGGAGGGTGGCGCGGAGCTACCTGGGCTCCAGGGCTTCCTGCAGCTCTGCACCACCCTCTGGATCCTGGCGCGAAGCCGCGCGGGGCTGCGGAGGGTGGTGCGGAGCTGCCTGCGCTCCAGGGCTTCTTGCAGCTCCGCGCCACCCCCCGGATCCCAGCGCGAAGCCGCACGGGGCTCTGGAGGGTAGCGCAGAGCTGCCTGCATCCCGAAGCCTGGTGCGCGCTGAAGAGCGCCCCCGGGCTTCACGCACCTCTCCGCAAGCCTGGGGAGACCAGTGTGGCTCCCTAGGCTTGCGGATATCAGGCTGTTCTGGGGTCGGGGGAAGCTTGGGCTTCCCCCGCGCCTGCCCCGTGCCTGGGGAGGGGAAAAAATTTTTTTTCTTTATTCTCCCCCCAAAAAATTAGGTGCGTCTTATGGGGCGGTGCGTCCTATGGGGCGAAAAATACGGTAGTCAATATAGGCACAGAGTTAAATTTTTTAACATTTTCTAATGGTGGTGTGCCTCGAGATTTTTTTCATGAAACAAGTGTGCCTTTGCCCAAAAAAGGTTGGGAAACACTGGCTTAGAGGATATGCGTTCTGTTCACAGAATCACAGAATTGTAGAGTTGGAAGGGACCCTGAGGATGCAGGAATATACAGCTACAGGGTTTGAACCTGCAACCTTAGCATTATCAGCACCACACTCTAACCAACTGAACTATGATAGGCCATTCAGTAAATTACTTTGGTTATAGAAATATCCATCATCCTGCCTAGCTTGGGAATCTGAAGCACCTATGTTTTGAAGTCAGATCACTTTGGAGATTCTTTAATATGGTTGGTATCTGGACT